CACTTGGATAGTGCCAGTGGTTCATGGGGATAGCCAAGTCATTGCACCACGCTAAGGCCCAGTCTTGTTACGCTCATATAGCTGCCTAGATACTCGAATTTCTTGATGCCTTCTAACTGACTACCACCAAAAGTCCGCGCAGGCGTGAGTCCTTTCCAAACTTGGAGAACGACTTTGCATTTCGACAATGCAAGGCATGGCCTAATGCGGCTGACACCCAAGGCTGATTTGTTTAGTGGTACTTGGCACGTTTGGGAGCTGTCAGATGACGGCACTGTCATCTGCGTACTCTAAGTCAGGAATTTCATCACCTGCGAGCAGCTCCACCCCTTGTATGTTGTATCCAGTGAACGTGGTCTCCATGACTTCGTTGATGGAGATGTTAAAAAGTAAAGGTGGCAGTTGGCATCCTTGTTTCACACCGCTGATGATGTTGTAAGGCGGCGACAGCTTGCTATAAGCTTCCCTCTTTTCTCGAACTATGCGCGTACAGCACTCTGGTAATGTTTAAGTATTTCTCGGGCACTTATTTCCTGAGTAGACACTCCCAAAGGGCACATCGATCAGCCGAATCGAAGGCACCTTTGATGTCGAGGAACCCGACTACGATGGGTCGCCAATATGTGTGGCAGTGCTCCAACAATTGACTTAATCTAAATATATGATCAATACGGCCGCGACTTGGACGAAACCTGGATTGCTGCTCACGAGTCCTACTTTCACGGGCGCCAATGAGAACGATAGAGGCGCGTATCTTAGATGCAATTGAGACCAGACTGATGTTTCTGTTATTGCCGCAATCCGGTCGGGAACCACCCTTGATGATTGGGACTATAACGTAGCGGCTCCAGTCGGATGGGACAGTTTCTTACTCCCATAGCTCCACGAGTAAGTTGTGCAATTCATCTACAGAAGCAGGTCCCTCGAATTTGATGAGAGCTGGAGGAAGTCTATCTGCTCCTTGCTTGCTGCCTTGTTCAGTTTCAACAGTCTGATCTCCCGTTCGACTTCCGCGCGTGAAGGTCGATCCAAAGGGACGGCCTAAAGTGTAGGGCGGTCAGTGGCCGATAAGGAAGATGACAATTCTGGCTGATTAACCTACTTTTCAAAGTGTTCGGCCCAACCCTTCAAGCATTTCGACATGCTGTGGATAGTCTCGATAATACCAGGTCTCCTGCTACTCATTTCCCGTATCAGATGGAATAACCGAGAACAGCGACCTTTTCCATCTCCTTTGCACGATGAGGCCATCACGCTTCTCGGTCTCTCTTCAGGCTAGCACGCAGTCGCCCTAAGCTTTTACGAGTCTTGTTATGTTCGCTACCAGTGGGTCTGTGTCGGCGAGCATCCAGAGACTGCGTAGAGACCAGATGTCCAGGTTGATGATTTGATTTGCCACATGAAAATATACCTGCCGCTAACAACATCTGTCGGATATGCTACCAGTGCTTTTCAACTCCGTTCAGTGAGTGTTTACTCAATCCGCATACCGGCGTACTTTGATACGCATTCAAAACATCTGCTTTCTTTAGTTGATTGGTATCTATACGTTCACAGCACCGTTACGGACCTCCGCCAGAAGGTACCTGTAGGCCGGCACGTACCAGTGCGTGGTCGCAGTCCACTCTCATGCTCCAATTTGATCGACAGTTTGGAACACATCCTCTTCAGCGGGAACTGATCGCGATGTGCTCTGTTTGCGTCCATGACTGGTCTGAGGCTGGTGGACGCCATATCACTCTTCTGCAGGTTGTGTGCCGAAAGTTAATGCTCGCGAGAAATAGTCGCAAAGGCAGCAACCGTTCACCGTTATCATTACGGGATCCTGCACCGTGTTGGCTGCCTAAATGCAGCTAATCAGATGACGACTTTCCAACTTGGACGTTCATATCGCCAGCAAGCACCACTGTATTCGTACTCTTTCTGACACAAGCAGCTTATTCACTGGGCGATAGAATCCATCGTTCACCTAGTCAGTACTACAGTTTCTGAGGAGGTAGGTCGCAATGACAAACAGACACCATTTGTCTGCGCGCGACCAGAGCTTTGAACGAGCCAGCCAGTCTGACGGTACACCTTGCTGCTGATTGGGATCCAGTCAACCAGTGCAGCTTCAGTCTACGCCGGCTGTGTTACCTCCAGACAGACGCAGTGAGAGTATGCCACCCGTGTCGCTTGTGAGGGATCGCATGGTGAGCACGGGGCTGAAATCTCGCAGGCGGATTTCCCGTAATCTGCAGATATTTATCAATGGGGTCTAATGTTCGAGCAAGCGCTTCCTCTCGGCCATTCTATAACATGAGGCACGTGTTAAGGCTTGACTGTTTTTTTCAAGGATCGAGGGCTCCAAATGGGGGGAATGGATGAACTGACGTTGTCCGCTTGGCTGAACAGGATTTGTCCACCGGACCAGAGCGACCTCTTGTGATTGCGTGTGTTGTAACTGGAAGATAAATGCGTTTTGTAGCAAGGTGGGGGAGGGGTAAAGTGAACAACAATTCACTGTTTTGCGTGGGCAGGATATTGTTAGGCTGCCCAGGCCTAGTCAAAAGAACGATCAGGGTTATCAACCAAAGCTTTTGGTTCAAAAACCTGACCGCAAGTAGTGCGGTTTTGGCACTGGGCTATAGGAGTCCGTTTTATGAAGTAAGGAGCCACTCACACTCTCTCTAACCGGGAGGGTCAGGAGACTGAGTTTTTCTGGCCTCTAACCACTGACCAATCTGGTATGAGTGGCTCTGAAAGTTAAAAAAGCGCCATCCAGCATAGCTCAATGGATCGCTGAGGCACGCAAGCCGTCGCATCGTGTTAACTTCCATTGTCGTCGCGGTGGCTTAAGGTGCAATCTCGTTGCGATGGTTTGATGGGAACACCTTATTGGCCAAGTTAGTTGAAGCGAACAGCTCTAACGCACACTTGAAGTAGGGGAACACATATATACTGCGTTCGCAGTGCGCAATACAATGCTCCAACCTCTTTTAATGAGCGTACATCCCCTATCAGTTTTTCCTTCATCCTAGATTCCCGTTCCTCACTAAGGCGACGGAGGGCAACAGAAGCCAATGACTCACTACGGTTGCTTCACTGATACTCCGATTGATGACACATACAACATGATGGCTCTACTTATTTGTTTCCACTGTGGTCCATTTGACCCATCTGAACATCTTTTCTTCATCCCTGTTCGAGCGGGTATTAAGTTGAGGAGCACCTCCCCATTCTTAAACATCGAAGCACGAGAGTCTACGCTGGCAAGGCATGGGCAGTGAAGGGCTGCGGTCACGTTCCGGACCTCAGCCTCAGATAGAACCCCTGAGTTATTCTGCCTTATTTGTCTGCGATATCCAAACTCTAAAATACTCCGCCCAATCGAGTGACCTTTCCTTTTGCAAATTAGGGTGCCACTCCTGTTCTTCATTCGTCGTCAACGCATGATTTCCTTAGACAAGTAATGCGCGTCAACTGAAGGAGCTTGTGATAAGTACCGGTCACTCTTGTTTCTTCTCTTTCCTGAGTCCACCATGTTTGCTTGTCAGTTTTGAGGCTCCTTTTTAGCTTGCGCCTAAGAGTCCACTCGACCACATTGTGGTCAGTGCCAGTGGAGTTTTATCCTCTGGATTCCAATAGGTTCACCAATATTTCTGACATCCAGCGTTTGGTGCGATGGCAGACGATAGTGTTGCATTCGGAAGCTTCTACGCCGTACTCTTTTGGAATTATAAGTCATTAAGATTCAGTATTTTTAGGATAGTCAGCTGAAGATTTGGCACGCAAGCACTTCTTGGAGGTTTGCCTCGTCATCAATCAAGATAATAGGATGCTGCGTCAAGGATCCTGGAAAACCGAAAGAGTATCATCGCATGATCTGAATCGCTTTAAGTATCCAAAAAGAACAACAAACACCTGTTTAATTTGGTACAATCGCCGGCCAGCTTCGGGAAGACGTAGAACAGTGTATTTCCAACGATTGCGCCTGAATGCAAAACTGGCTATCAGCACATAACTACAAGACATTCACGATTATCCGTGCATTCGTAGTTTAGTTAACGCCTCCCGCGTGGCTGTGCTACCAAGTAGCTTATATGACCTAATTGCAGCTAGAACTCTACCTGAACTGGTAGTTCTCCGTAGCGGCGTTCTTAGCCTGTGATGAGAGCATCTTCTCTCATATCAGTTTAGTTGCCATTTGGACTATAGATGATCATGATTACACACAAGCAGCGTCTAGTCCTTATTTGGTGCATAGGAATCCGACCAACTAGTGATGACTCAACCTGCAGCTTGGCCCATGGTTGCTGCATCGTCGTCCCCTGATATGTTTAATCAATAACGAGAGAACATACCCGGCACGGTTTCCTCGACAATTTTATTATAGTTCTTTAGCGTCTACATCCTGATTACGACTAGGATTACCAGAGTTTATCGCTTAGCACAGCTCGGGGCGTAGAAGGGATGCGCAAACCGCTCCCCCTCATGTTGACCTCCTGTTTCGTTGCCTCATGGTGCCAGGACTTACAGATGACCAAATTTGACCCTGCTGGTCTATGTCGCCTTTCAGACTGGGGTCCAGATCACTCTCCCTGCGCTTGCTTCGGTGTCTTACAGGACCTGATACTTTACCATTACCTGTGCCACGTTTGCCTTCGTCTCCTGTTTGTACTTCATGTTTAAAGTGTGTCCGATGCTAACCTACCTATTAGGTACGGTTGATTATGACGTGGGACAGTGAAGGCTGTTCGGAATCTTTCCCTCCGGTTCTACCTTGTTTTCATTCGACTTCCAGTTATTTTTGTCTATGTATTGTTTACAATGTGTAAGCACCTTAATCCTTAATGTTAGCTTGACACATTTAACCATCACATTAGTCTCCTGACCCCCTATACTCTTATTTCTTATTGATGAAATAACTTCGGTTGTATGACTGTGAGACATCAGTGCAAAGTACTGCTGCTGTTGTTTTATCGTTATTACCTGTCCCATATATATTTTATTCTGCATAGGTCGCTGGAGATGGTCATTCAGACATGGCAGAGTTCACCGATACACCTGGAGGCGATGTGCCTTATGCAAACGATGCGCAGGACATCTGCCTTGACTGCGACTTTTGCAGTTCTTTTTCGCTAGAGGCACACGATACATTAAGTGAACCGTATCACTCACTTGACCATGAGCATTGTGAGTTTGCCGAGCGTACACTTGACCTGGGAGATGAGGATGATATATGCCTTGATTCTTCCAATCAACCTCAAACCATCGCCATGCATGACACTCCACTGAGTGGTCCCACCGCAACGGACGATGTGACTATCGTTGCGCCACAGGCAGACATTGATGGGAAAATTTTTGAGGCTGCCGGACCACACACATCGGTAACCAAGGTAGGCTGATTTTACCAGACTTAAGCTTTACTCAGCCTTTTATTATTTCTATTGATTGTGTCTTGGTTGGTTTGTTAAGTATCAGGTACGTAGCGCATGAGCCATCACACGTTGCACACATTGTGATTTTACCCTACATTGAAATGGCACAATAGTTTACACGTCTCCTTATTCCATTTAGCCGCATTACACAGTGAGCTAACCACCTAAGACAAACTGGTAATTAGCATTCTGCGAATCCAGACTTAATATTCGCCACATTTTTGAAATCTCTTTTTGCAACATGTCCCATGTTTTCTTCACCATGTATACCGGGTCCCGACACATATCAGTTCAGTTAAACGACTACACTCCGGGTACGGAAACGTTGTGGATCCACTTGCCATGGCTCACGTTGCCGGTGACAGGAATTAGGCAGAATGTAAATAGAATACGGATAATAGGTGCTTAGGAAACAATGAGTAAAATTTGTCGCGATGAAATATTACCAGCTAGATCTGAGGTTGAATGCGGCGGGGCCCACTAACTTAGCGATTGCGTTATGCCCATACGGAGCTCGTACCACTGATGTGGGCATCTCGAAATTTCTGTCCGAGGGAACGAAACCAGCTTGGCCAAGTACCTGGTTCACTTTTCTTTCTCCATTCCACACCAACTAGTTTGGTCAACAACATATGGTGCTAGCCGATGAAGGTGATCAACCGGCATACAAAGAACATGATCTAGCCAACTAATCTGTTCAATTTTAGTCGAAAGCTCAACATTATACTCGGGGGAGTTTCTTTCCGGACTCCGACTGACCGATCTTAATACTGTTCAATCGCCAGCCAGTAGTGGCAGTCGGCTCGGACGCCTGGCTTATACTCCACAGGTGCACCGATTCTGGCCTGTATAAACGGGGGTGACCTCGAATTTTCCACAGCTCGCACGTGGTTGTGTGACAGCGAAGCGTCAGTACGGAGCACTGGCATACTGCTGATACCTTTTTTCGTATTTTTCTTTGGGTGCTCCCACCAGATGTGAGAAACAATCCGAAAGCACCCGTGATCAAAGGCGGTCAGTCTCTTAATGTCTTCAGCGCGAATTGTTCATTTTTCCGATCCACGTACCGATTGTTGTGCGATCTGCTTTTAACCGACAAGATAATGTCCTACCGTCTGTATAGATGCTTTAACCTCTTAAAAGCCACATGGGCCTTTCTGTTTAAGCTCGTCACTTGTGTGATTATCAGAGATTATAAAATTATCAAGTGAACCGACCAACCGATTCCCGTCGCTGTCCCCTGATAGCTAGTGCCGTTAGCGTGTTGCCTCAGTCATGAAACGATATCTTTAATGGTGCGGGACACATGCTTACACGTGCAGCGCCACGCCTCTGCATACCCAGTAGGGCTTGTATACCATCCTGGTTCTCCTCGAGTGGAGTCATAACGGTCGCATGCACAATATTTGTCAGTTATTCACGTGGCAGGGCTTCCGCTTCATTTGCTAGTTTTCAAAGCGCTACTCATATTGCTTGCTACCTGATAAATCAGACTATTTAGCCAACCGTTAGAAGTGAGTCCTATTTAACTGAATGCATCTTGCGAGTGTTTAAACGCCTAATGTAGTGTTTCCGTAGCCAATGCGGTGTCCCTTTTGTAGATGATGATGACTTGTTGACTCACCATTCCACAGCTCCAGTATGAGGTTATCGGAAACCGTCCCCTGACTTCACAATTTCAAGCGAAGTTCGCCGGGATTTTCTAAAGCTCACATCCCCTTTCAACTTCGTAATTTTTCTTCCATCTACTCTGTTTCTTTCACGTTTCTCGCCCTGGGTTGTCGTCTGAAAAAATTACATGTATGAAGACGGTGCCTCTCTTTCCTGATCGAACTCAGCTCTTGTGCCCACATTGCATTCTGTGGCATTTGCTTCACATCTTCAGAATGTTCGACATTTCTGCATCATTGGGACGATATAACGACAGCTCCCATTTCCCCGTAGCATTACCCATAGACGGTGGATCAGTTGGCCTATCTCAGTGCCCGTTATTTCTCACAGTTAGCAACTGCACTCGTCGGCCAAGGCCACCGACGGCGACTGCCAGACATCAGTGATCGATCAGGGGGTTAGGATGTACAACGCGCCGTAATGTGGCCGGTGCTGTGGACCATCGCTCATGTCTGGTCAAGTTACTGACCATCGCTACGGCGGTTCTGCGGTTGGCAATTCGCCCTTAAACGCCGGTGTGTACCGCCCGTTTATCTCCAATCGCTCATATTGATTACGTCACTCTATGACACATTATCTTACTCACCAACACCTCTATATGAGTTGGATTGGGCCCCATATCTGGCAGCGGTATCTATCTTGTTCTTCAACAACCATTCGCCCCATTTCTTTCCATAATATGAATTGTAGCGTCAATATGTCAAACAGATTCAGTTATTTAAAGGCAGGTCTGTTTAGCTGATCCGCAAAACTTTTTTCCCAGTGTTGAAGCTGGTGGCGCTGAGGATTGTTTATTTTTGCAATCTTCTCTGATGCAGTTTAAGTGACCGATGCACACACCTTGCGCACTTACCTCGGATGATTTAGAACGCTAGTGACTCACCGCTTCCTTTCACCGACCATCGCCACCCTCGAACGCTCCCCATTCGTTCTCCGAGCCCTAACCCGACATCGTTTCACATTGTTAACGCTAAAGCTACCTACTTGCTGGGCTCATTCCCCACACTGGCCAAGTTTCTCGAGCCATCGAAATCCCATACGCAACAGACCACGTCATCTCAGTGAGCAATTGGTTTTCAGTAGGAACATTTCCGGTCTGTAACTGGCACATTTGCTTTGGCTGTCGTCTACAACGGACTGTGCAAATCTTACTTTTGAAGTTTCTTGATTGTCTAATAATTCAGACAACTGGTAATTAGTCTAGGAATCTAGCTAGTATCCCATATCCATTGCCAATCTTACATCGTCGTGCACTATATTTAGCTCATAGCAGTACGGTCAAGCTGAATCTCGATTAGCTTCTCGTTTACAGAGCGCCAGGTGACACGGTCATGTACACGATAAAGGCTGAGCTCAGCGCATACTCGAAGGAATAAATTGCAATTGTCGGTAAGATGATCGTATATCCCAAAACAATCCCCAATCGTCTCTTGGTTTCTGATACGAGTCTCGCGTAACCTTTTTTGAACCTTACAATGCCGATAATACTCTTATTTTACTGGTGAGGGATAGGAGTCATTGGTAGGATCCGTTTTTGGCAGTTTCCGAGCCGCAACGAGTAGCTGAGACAATAAAAATGACTATTACTCTTCATGTGCGGGCTACCAACTCTGGTGATCTTCTGAGTTGAACAACTCACAAGCGGCTTTTCACGGGAACTTATTCAGGCAACAACTTCGGTTTTTCCACTTGTGGCTACTGCTAGATACCAGGTCTGTATGGAGTTGCCTCTCCCCAACCAACGCTTGCAACTTGTAGTTTGTATGTGTATGCATTGTCCAGCGTGCTGTTGGACATCAAACGTGCTGCCTTGTGTGTGATTTCTTCTGGCCAGCTAGAAAGCTTTCGTCTAGATCCTCTCGATTTTCGATGTCGTTGTTTTGCGTTTACGCGTTGCAGTAATACCGCGCATACCACTCAGCCTGTATTTCAACGTGTTGTACATGTGATCTTCTCTTTTAAACTTCCTTACTATCACAAAGTATACTCACGATGTGTATGTGCGTGGCTAGTGCAATTTGGCACAATTCATAATCCACATGTGCGATTCCGCTTGCTTGCCTCAGTTGACCTTAATCACTGCTGTAGGCCTACCTGAAAAGTGAATGTATCCTGTCGCTTACCTTCAAGTTACTCTGGCTGTTCATTCCTTCGTTGTCCTTTTTGAATTTCCCCCGACCGTTTCACTTTGCCACATATTCTACCTTATTCACCTATCTAAATGCATGTTGTGTTGTTTTTTTTAAGAATTATTTCACCAAGCTTTTTGGATATATTCCTCGGAAGTAAACCTTCATGACCAGCTGTCGAGGTGTAAGGCTTGCTTTTCAAATGTCACATACTTGACATCGATTTTCTCTTTGAAGTCCCACATTTCCATGAGTTTCGTTTAGGGAATGAGCCTATGCCTTAAGGTACTCACCTGCCCCATCCTCATGTATTGCAGCATAATATACGGTAATATGACAAAGTGACAGAATTGTTGTGGAACATCTGCAGAGGTTCTTTACTAAACATCTGATTGATAAGCACTCTGCTATGAATTATCGAGAGCGCTGCAATGAACTTCAATTCGAACCAATTTGGATTCTGCGATTGAAGCACAACTTGTTGCTGTTTTTCCGGGAGGCGCACCAAGCTTCTCCCCCAGATGGCAACTGAGAAATTGTCAGGCAAGCCTATCAAGACGCACTGCGTACCAAACTTTCGCTGTCTTGTTCTAAAGACAGGAGGCAGAAGCAGTAGGCATTTACCGCAAGCTCTTCCAACTGATCCGCACCACTGATCCTAGGAAACCAGGCGTCAGTGAGACAATCAGACAACGCGGGTGTACTGATACACAATAAAGAGCGCCGGATGGCTCGTTGGGCGTAACGCTTTCAAGATCAGTTCAGCTGGCCCCATGCTCCCGGACCTCTTTCTACTCAGGTGATGATGATGAGCCATGGACGGTTAGTTTAGAGTCTCCGTCGGAGGCCGAGGTCCAAAACGCGATCACAGTCCTCAATCGTTTTTGTGCCACTGGCCCGGATTCCCTGCCACCTGTCCTATTTAAGGATGATGTCCTGTGCAAAGCACTGACCTCCCTGTTCGAACATATCTGGAAGAAACTATATCACGACTAACTGTAGTGAATCGATTCTAGTGGCAATATACAAGAAGAGCAGTCGCACAGTCTGTTCTAACCACAGGGGTATTAGCCTAACGCTACTTGTGACAAAATTCTGGCTTCGATTCTCGTTCGTCGCCTCACTGTGGAACGGGAATCTCGGATTAGGGAAGAGCAGGCAGGTTTCCGCCCAGGACGTGGCCGTTTAGGCCATATATTCACACTGCAGCAGGTGTTAGAGCAGCATCACGCAAATCACAGGCCGACAGTATTTGTGTTTCTCGATTTCAAGTGTGTTTTCGATTCGGTCGATCGATCGATTCTGTTTGAAATACTTGCGCGGAAAGGTATTCCCACGAAATATGTGGACATCTTACGTGCTTTATATTCGAACACTACAGGCCGCGTCAAGCTCTACGGTGACCTGTCCAATAGCTTTCCGATCACAAGTGGCGTTCGTCAGGGTTGTCCGATTTCCCCATTTTTGTTCAACTTCGTTGTGGACTCTATCCCTTACGGAATCTCACGATGTAGACCTTGAGGTCCTGTCTTGTGTAACATTAGTTGATGTTGATTATGCGGACGATATCGTCTTGCTTTTTGACAATGTTGTAGCAGCACAATCAACCCTGAATAGCCTGTTTAGAGTGCTCCCATTATTTGGTATGCGCTTCGCGCCATCAAAGGGCAAAGTGTTGCTGCAGGACCATCAGCCACTTGATGACCCCTTGACTCTTGCTAACGAAGAACTCGAGCTGGTTGATCGATTCACTTATCTTGGCAGCTGCATTAGCAACGATGGGCGCATAGAAAATGAAGTCGGTTCACGTATTGCGAAAGCCAGAATTGCCTTCTTGAACCTGCGACATCTTTGGCAACAGAAGGGAGTTTCTCTCCGTCTGAAAGGCCGTGTTTACAAGGCCACGATGAGGGCCGTTCTGCTCTATGGCAGTGAGACTTGGCCCGTTGGGTCTAAACATCTGAGGCGCCTTCAAGTCTTTGATCATCGTTGTCTGCGAATCATAGCTGGTTTCGGATGGCACCAGCGTGTCCGCAACGACGATGTGCGTAGGCGAGTACTCGGTAGTGATCTTCATGGTGTCTCCTTAAAACAGCAGATAACACTGAATGAGTTGCGTTGGCATGGGCACCTGTTACGTATGTCTGGTCACCGCTTACTTAGGAGGGCCTTATTTAGTCTGCCAGATGTAGGGTGGCGCAGGGCTCGAGGTGGACAGAAGTTGACTTGGCAGCGTGAAATGAAGTCACTGACGACCAAACTGGGTGCCCGCGCTTGACTGGTGGTGGTCGCGCGGCAGCGAAGCGCCGTTACGGCGTATAGCTGACACGTTATTATTATTATTAAACTGGGTGCCCTTGATCCGTTTCGCCTTCCTGGCTGGAGTCCACGTGACTCGCCTTGTGCTTGGCTCGAAACTTTGCAAAATATTGGCTCGCGACCGACATCAGTGATGCGTCCGCTGCCGTCTCGTCAGACTGCCTGTTTTAAGTGTGTTTGGTGTTGAGTTATCTGCGGGGTAATGGCTGAATATGACGCAGGGCACTGAAAGCCTCAAGGAAGCTGTCTCGCCGATGCCGCCTTATCTTTGCACGATAGCCAGATTCGTGAGGAGCAAGCCGGGTTTCGTCGAGCTCGTCGTTGCATCTACCACATCTTTACTTTGCGTCAATTGTTGGAGCACCGTCACACATATTTGCGACGCACCGTAGTCATGTTCCTCGACATCATTGTGCCTTCGATTCGGTTGATCGATGTGCCCTTTGGGACTGTCTACTCAGGAAAGATATGCCCGCGAAATATGTAAATATCATCCGAGCATTATACGCGCGTAACACGGGCAGAATGGCCGCTTACGGCAAGCTGTCGCCATCCTTCAATATCTCCAGCGGTGTAAGACAAGGATGCCCGTTGTCACCTTTCCTCTACAACTTCGCTATTGACGAAGTCATGGACATTGCATTTACAGTACACGCCTTAGAAAGTGTGGAGCTACTCCCAGGAGCACGACTTCTTGACTTGGAGTATGCAGGCGACATTGCCGTCATCTGTGACAACTGCCAGACATGCCAAGCTGCACTGGACAGATTAACACTGGCTGTCAGCCGCTTCGGGCTTTGCTTTGCACCATGGAAGTGCAAAGCTTTCCTCCAAGATTGGCACGGATCGCCTCCTGCGCTGACCCTTGGTGGGGATCAGCTAGAAGTCAGTCAGAAATACAACTACATGGGATGTTGTATCATCCCCCTTGGGGTCGAAGACGAGATCACCAACCGAATAGCAAAGCTCGAAATGCTTTTGCTAGTTTTTGCCACCTCTGGCGGCGGCGCGACATAACTTTTACCATGAAGCGTAGTGTATACAAATGCAGCGAAACCTGGCCCCTTAGGTCAGCAGACGTAAAAAGCTTAGTTAGGTTTGACCATTGGTGCCTTCACTGTTTGGCTCACATCTGGTGGGAACACCGCGTGAGTAACGAGCGTGTTCGACACTTTGTTTATGGCACAGGAAAAGGAACTGAACGGCTCAGCACCGTCATTTCACGCACCAGGCTCCGATGGCTCGGTCGCATCTTGCGCATGCCAGCCCACCGACTCCCGTGACGTGCGTTGTTTACTCACCGGGTGTGTGGATGGAAGAAGAGGAGGGGTGGCCAAGCGATGACTTGGTCGAGAGGAATGAACGCCCTCACTTCGGAATTGGCTTCGATGTGAGCTTCACGGCTCCTTGGTTGTGGACCAAAAGACGATGAACACGTTTGGCTGGTTACACTTGCTGACATGCCTAGGAGCCGACCTCAGTGGCATTCATGCTGTGAGTTTCTTTGTCCCTTCCCATCCCTTTTAGTCTCTCCCTCCAACCACCAACTCATTTCGTAGCATAATATAATTTTACATCATAATTTTTCTTGTTGCCTAGTAGCCGGCTGGTAGCTTTCCGGAACGATGCCTATCCGTTGCTGGTAGCTCAGCTGGCATGTAACTGTTGTATTTATTTATTTATTTATCTTTTTAGGCACTCTATCTGAGGTGTTTTACACCTCTAGCTAACGTGTATAATGATGATGATTTGCATGATAGCCAGCTTTGTGTGACGGTATGTTGTCTACACAAGGTGTAGACGCCTTAACCTGAATGTTTGGTGAGGGCATTAAGGTTTTCAGGCCAGCCCTCCTCTCCCTCTTATTATTCTTTATTCCATACGTCATCGTAATTGTATGGCAGCGAAGCATCAGTTCAGATGGCTGATATTCTGTTGTTGTTCATTGATTGATTGATTGATTGTTGTTGCTGCTGCTGCTGTTTTCCAACCTGCTACACACAAAGACCTATTCCGACCTGCCTACCCTCAAACTACAACATAACTCAACTCGAGGGCTTCGCAATAAATATTTTACACTGAATATACCAAGTCTATTACGGACGTTCGCTCATATTTATTCCTGTGCAGATATGGCTGTCTGTGGTATAAGCTGCCAATCACACTCAGGTCATGTGACAATGTGGCAATATTTAGTAACAATCCCTGAAGTTACCTTGACTTGATTACCATAGTGACTATTCACTTGGGGTCCGAAAACATGTAAACACCCTCATTTTCTAACCTTGGCTTTCGCCTCATCCATTCACCAGAACGGTATTACACGAATTACATGCTCCAATATTCAACATATGCATATCGCCCCTGCAAGAGCTTGTTTACTTTTATACAACTTGATCCGTGCCGCTACAGACACAGCTTCTCGCATCAGGAGAAATAGCGTTTTGGTATTATTATTTTTAAAACAGATCATTCTTTTTCAGCTAATTCATCATTGCCACTCTCAATCATTCTTTACTGCTCACTTGGATTGCAATATTTTTCCCGTTCGCGTTGCCTTGGCGATAGGTACCAAATGAGGGCGCTGGTATTTCGAACAGGACGCATTCCCCGGGCACCTGTAATCACACAGACTCCACCGCGATAGTTAAACCTAAGACCAAAAAGCGCAAGAAACAAGCCCAACGTGGTTCCCCTTCCAAGAAAGAAGCGGCGTCAGTCAAAAAGCGCTTAACCGATACGGAATCAAAAACCATGACTTGGGAAACCGCTATCATCTCCCGCGATTCGTTTGGCAAGGTAATTAGTTACTACTATGTTTTGTTCCAAATATTTTGTAATGCGATGGGAATGAAATTCTTCTTTCCGTCCAGTTTACTTCCTTTTTTCACCTCATCGGTGTGCTGTTGCTTCCTTACAGCTGGAAAACTACTTTTTCACCATTGACACTTTCGCTTTCATAACCACCCGCACGAGCATGATGATGCCTCTAGAGGGAAGTACGTAAAACGGTTTACATGCTGGCTTGAGGTACTTTCTTTTACTCACTTCTGTGAAATCTGCTTCCCTCCTTATTTGATGGCTTGGGTATAACGTTTGGGTTTCAAACAGTTGGCGCTAGATTCTCCCAAATGCCTAGTCGCATATGATAACAAATTTCCCTTCTATGGACATTTGCCATCATGTAATACACTATTGATCGCATAGAGACGAGGCCTGAGTTTTAGCACTATTGTCCTGTGTTGCCTTTTCTCACGAAAGTGATCTGTCAGTACGGAATACGCATAGCACACACACAAGTGGTAATCCTAGTCTTTGTAAGTGTATCATCACCACCTCGACGTAGCGGTCTGTTCCTATATCTACTTTTTGCCTGTATGTTAGCCAAGAGCTGCTTCTGTACACTGTTTTGAATCTTGTGCTGCTGATTTGTTAATTTATCGAACAATCTAAATTCAGCAGTGCTCAGCGACTTCTCCGCGTTGCATTCACCCGCAGTGTTGTCTCACTCTTGAACAAAAACTTACGTTCTGTCTCTATTTTTTCATGAAACGTTTGGTTGCAATTCGAGGTAAATTTATACCATCTTTCTTCTCTTTCTGCTCACCTTTCCGTAGCCTATAGATTATGACCGAGCAGGATATTATCATTCAGCCGCTGTAAATAAGTTGAAAAAGGAAGATCTGTGGTTTCCTTTCATTCCTTCGTGCCATTCCAATGGCCAAGATGTTGCCTCCACTTACATTTTAACTCCACTGGAAAGCTCCGAACAATCCACAATGCTGGCGCATCACTCTCCTCCTCAGCCACAATGCAGAGCTTGTGGGCAACTTGGACATGGGCAGGCAAACTGTGCTACTGCTGCCGACAAGTCTGTTTCCTTTGCTGTGTGGAAACGATTAGTGAGCGATCTGCCAGCGCCTGCGTCCGAGGCCCAACAAGCTGCACTATCGGAAACACTTCTCGAACTTTCTCGCTTTCATGATTGCGCACATCAAGAAGAGAAGAAACACGTAAGGGGCCTTGTTATCTTTCTATCTGTCCTAAAATTTACCTTACATATGAGCTATAGCTCATAAAACATTGTGCTTTTCGTTGCTTTTTAACAGTTCATTGTGGGCGTTCTTCGGTCGATCTTCTCCAAAAAGTTTCCGGCCGTCCGGTTGCAGCTATTCGGGTCTTGCGCGAATGGATTTGAATTACCTTCCAGTGATCTGGATCTTTGCGTCTTTTTTCCGCGTGATTCTCCTCACTTTCATCAATTGATGAACGATGAGAGCGTACCCCAGGTAGTTCTTCCTCTGTCTACTTGACTTTATAGCCCTATGAGTGATGACAATTGTGGTTCAGTTGCCTCACTTTTATCTGTAGCTTATTGCATCAACTATGATAACGACGAGCTTTTCTCAAAATGTGCGCCAATAATCGGAAAGTTCACGTGATTTGTTGTTTCAATACCTGCCAAGGCGTTGTGCATTTCTTACTCTTGCTGTTGAATGGTGCCGTTTTGCGTTGTGCCTACCCATCGCTTCGCTTCGGTAGACAACGGATCGTGGTTTACTTGATATAATGCGTGCAAAAATTTTCAAATATCTGCCTAACCAGCTGCTCGACGCTGATTCCCGTTGCCCAGGCTCCTAACATCCCGCTAGATACATTTGTTTCACAGGTAGGCCAATTGGCGTGGAGTTTGTCACTTTGAGTTTATTTTCGCAGATTACACGTACCGATTCCACCTTTTGTCTATCAGACTCCCTGCATCGCCCAACTTGCTGGGCATTAGATTCGACTTTAGGTTATTTAACTGGCGTTTTATTCCTCCTTTCTTCGTAACACACTGATGTTGACATCGATATACCGCTGCCGGTACTGAAACCCACGATTCTTTGATTGTTCCCCATCGCCACCGGATATGGCGCAGTCGCGCAGTCATTGGCGCTCTTGCATTCGGTTTCTTACATCTAGCTGTTAACATTCATTCCATCGCACTTAGTCCTACGCACTTCTTTCTTTTCTATATCTGTATGGGTCCAACCCCTTTCTACTATTGCTACTTATTGTTATCGTGGCGACTGGATCCACCGCACCCCGGTGCCATAATCATAGTTGGTTAACTTAACGGATTGCGCTTATGTGACTGATTTGCATCCCACGTTTTCCCCATGTGTTCTTTCACGCTCGGCTGGCTTAGCTAAGTTCGATTGTTGACCAAGTACCCATTCGCCAGACACGAATGTAACAGTCACTGGATCTACATGGCATTTTATGCTTATTGGCGAAATTGGGATGCATGTCTCTTTGGCAGTGTGATTCCATCGCCCGATAGTCCATAGTTGAGGTGCCGCCTTGTGAATGACTAGTCTGCTTGCTCCCCTAGTTTGGTGTTCCTTCACCAAGTGCTGGGTGTGCGTATACACCATCTTGCTGCAACTGTAGCATTTATACCTTGATGCGACTCCGAGGCATGAATATGCGCACTCGCCTGTCCGCGCTTGTCTACACTTGATCAACTCAGTTCACCTCGAACACCGAAGCATGATGCCTCCCTCACTTACGGCACTTCACTTCACCTTGCTCATAATTGGCTGTGGGTGGGGGAAATATCACTAGAAATTCAATAGAAAAGAGACCAGGAACACAACCAAGTATTGGTCACTCGGATGAGAGTCTAACCTCAATATGCACTATACTAAATTCTGGCTTCGTTGTATCGGATAAACTATTTCATTGCTCATTTGGTCTATACTAAAGATCTCTATCCAGCAAACTCTACTAAGCTTCGATTCCCAGTTCTGTTTTTTGCCGCACTTACGGTTCAGCACTGCTACCTCGTCCTATTGGGATCAGCAGCGTACAACAGTGCACACATGAGATGGTCAGCGACCGTCCGATGAATACGTCCATCGCAATGTAGTCTTCTCGAAGTCAACAATGCTTGCCCTGTGGTACCAGAGCATCTGTATCCAACCATCACTTGAAATAGCTTCTTATTGCTTATACCGTGTTCTCCATAGAAACGAAAGATGCTACACAAATGCCAGCGATCAAACGTGTTTATCCTCCTTCTGTCACTAACGCATGATTGCCATGCGTTTGCTCCATGCATTTGCACCTGCTGTACTCAGGCGTGTCACACTCAACGGTCGACAGATTGGCTCATACGGGCTACCTCCACAGATGCTTGGTACCTTATTGGTGTGAACAATGCTCTCGATGATTTAACTACCGCATTTGAAATGCTAATCGATAGGAACCGTTGCGCCAATGCACTCCGCTCTGAAGTTAGGAAACGTCTAAAATTTCAACGCCTTGTCATCCTAAATGAAAATCATTCAGGAGCCCGTTTCGATCTCTTTTAAGTTTTACCGTCAGTCAGCTGTACGTAACGTCTACTCTGGGTAGTACAGTGTTATTTCAATGTCGATCAAATGTCTTCTGCGTACTACTCAGAGACAGATAGCGCACTTTACAAACTTGCTCACCTGTGTTCATTGTACCATCCAAGCCAATAAAGAGGGCTTTTTATGTGATCTTGCTCTAACACCTGCCTTCTGTATCACTATTTCTACCGTTTTCAACACAGTGGGCAGCCAAAGTATTCTCGTTTATGGAGAGTAGTGGGAATAGGCAGACTATCCGGCCATTCAACGCTCTGTAGTCGCCATTTTGAGGGTACCTCAAAATTAAATTTCATGGAACAACATATGGTTCATGGATCCTTTCATTCTCAATTAAAGCTAATTCACGTTGGAACTCTTCCGTGTGGGTGATTAGTCTCAACAATCGCTGGTGACGAAGATGCTTCGTTACGCGCTCATGCTTTTATCTTCGTAACGCTTTACTTCCGATCTGGACAACTATCCGTGTTTCATAGTTGTTGTTCTTCAATTGACGGAGTGCATTCAGGGACTCGTGCTTCGGATGAGGTGTAACTCCGGCATTTTTAGCGGGGTGTGGCTACGCTATTGAAATAATGGCGTCTTTTGATGACTGACCTTGTGATTTGGGATGATCCTTCCGGAATCCATTTGTTAGCGCAGACTACCTATGGCTTCACTCACGATAACGAGGAAAGATCAAAACTGGTGCTACTAGCCCTCACTTCGCTTTGACCGCCGTGCCAAACCTTGTTCGAATATTACGCCGCTGTTTTGTGTCGTCTGTGCTAAAACAACAGTGAATGACTACTGTCTCGCCGTTGCGCAGTTTAAACACCGTTCACTTTACCCACCCCCTTTGGCTATCATCTCTCTCTGCTATTCGGTCTCTCCATTTGCAGCTCATTCGCGAATTCCGATCTGAGCTCTACCGATCTAGCCGACTGTTACAAATCGTACATGTGCGAGCCATTCTTCATGCCAAGGTTCCTATCCTTAAGGTGCGATTCGAAAACGGATCCGAGGTTGATATCAGCTTCTCTAACTATCTGGTGAGCAAGACATCGATTACCCTTTCATATTGTAGTTATTACTCTTACACTCGAGAATGTGTATAACCTTTTTGTTGTGTTTCGCTGTTAAGGCCCTTGTGAACACCCGGATGCTGAAGTTGTACACAGTCATTGATTCTCGTCTGCGTGTTCTGGGGATCGCTTTGAAGATTATCGGCAAAGTAAGCCACTCCTTGGGATATACGCTTTTTATGATTTTTTTTATTCAACCCATTCTTCATCTAACAAAGATACAGCTGCAAAAACCCTTCTAGTGGCATGGGATTTTGTTATCCATTCACGAACTTGCTATCGGTCACGATAGTTAAGTTCAATTTCCTGTTATTCTTACACTGATTATCATCTTCAATCACCGGTTATCTTCTAGTTTGTAGTAGTCTCTACCGCCTTCTGCCTAGTGGCAGGTGTAACGCGCATTAGACGTTCGCTTCCTATGTGTCCAGCTTCTTCTTACTGTTTTTTAACCCCTTACCTATCGGATTCGTTGTCAACACTTATGGTTATCACTGCCTGCACTCTGTCGCAATACGATTGCGCCGCAACATGCCGCAATGGTTTGTGCAACTCCGTGATCCATTGAAATTCGCTACTGGCACTTTCCAAGTATCTTCAAGCTATTATTCACATTATGTTGGTCTATGGTTAAATGTCAAACAGACTCACGCTCAACTGTCTCCTCATCGGAGGCTGAAGATATTTAGTCGATTGTTGGTTAGAAATTCAGCTTGGTTAGCGTAGCTGACGATCATCACGAGTTGACTGTGGTGGTTGGAAGACATCACTCTTTCTCAGTTGTTTGCTACCGCCTACCTATGAGTAAACAGGCACTGACTTACCAAAATCTACCTACGGCTGATCATAGTCGAGCTGTTGCAGCCGCTTCCAAATTGCTCACCTGCATCATGCCCCGGTTAGGTAAATACTAAGCCTGCTTGCTGAACAGCATGAGGTAAATTATTCACTGGACGTTCCAGTGTCCCCGTACTCATTTGACCTGAGAGTTGCTTTTGATTCGTCTGCTCACTTCTTTTTACAGCAACGTTCCTCCTTGAAAGTGCATCAAGGCACTTTCTTCTTATATCTTCCCATCACTTCTCTAACCGTTTATGTGGCAATGCGAAACTGTCTCACAATTCATCACAGCAGCTGGAGTGCCTCAGGATCACCCAGCGCTCATGAGCGCTTCTCTCATGCTCCTCTGCTTTGTCTCTAAAACAGGTTCTGCCTACTACGTCATCATACAACCAGTTCACAAAATCATCAAAGGAATGCCTCAATTATTCGTTCAATGGATCTATCTAGGCAGATGTATCACGTAACGTCTTGCTGCACTCACTAGCATAACTCATGTGGCTTTCAGAAGCCTCTGACACCTATGGTGGGTGGGAACAGTCTGCAGTGCTACGATCCGACCAGTTTAATATATGAAACGGAGGCTTGGTCGCTACACGCCGAGAACAATGGCCGACTAGCTGTGTATACCGACCATTACCTGCTCAAGTTACGACGAGTGTTGATAATTTTTGATCCTGACATAGTGGGCAAACAGAAATTATGCTAACGCCTATTGTATTTATCTACATTATCGCCCCTTACTTTGAACACACTTTTTATGTCGGTGGCGCAATCGCACAATACCATTCAGATAGAAGTGTCTTCCTTGTTTCAACAACCAACTTTCTATGTTCCCCTCATCTCTTCGGGTGAAACAGAATACTTACCTTTTAAAGAGCACTTCAAATTTGGAAACACATGCAAGTAACATGTGTCCAGGTCAAGAGAATAGGCTAGATGAGGGAGTTCCTGAAAGCCAGATACACGCATAGCATCTTTCGATATCTTGACTGTGTGAGCTGGTGAATTGTCGTGCAGAATCAGAACAGCTGTCAACATTCGTCTACGTTTTTCTCTCGTACAAACTCTCAGTCGTCGGATCAAATCAGCGTAATAGTCAGCAGTGATGGTCATCATGTGTGGCATATAATCAATTAAAAGCATCACGGAAAATTGTGCACATGATCTTGCCTGCACTGAGCTGAACATTGGATTTCTAGGACAATGGAGAATCCTGGCGCTTCCACTGCTTGGATTCTTTTTTTCTTTGAGTATCGTGATGGTGGATCCAAGTCTCATCCCCTGCCACTATTCGCCGCTTCAATTAGTCCCGGCCTTTGTGCGTGCGTTCTAGATTTTCTTCTGAATGGCGGACGCAGTTTTCCTTTATTTCAAGAATCAACGTACTCGGTACCCATCACGCACACACCTTTCACATATTCAAATGTTCACGTACGATTCCTTCGACAGTTGATAAACTAACCCTTATTGTATGAGCTATTTCGCGCACAGTCGTTCATCGATCTTCCAATCTCATCTCCACAGTAACAACCTTTGCTTCAGAGGTTGCTCCACAAACCGTCTCGACAATCCCTCATCTTGGATCGCTGCTGTTCGTCAGCGACATTTAACTGTTACACCCGAACGGGAGTTGCCTCTGTATACATCCTTCATGTGTTCATGAATTTCCTGCCACTGAATATATACTCTAAGGTTAAAGATTCTTTGACCGCTTTATGCTTCAATGTTTGCTTTTCTTCAGACATGGTCGTGTGTCCCTGAAGGGGATTAAATGTGAGCAGCTAGCGACCACAAACTTGGCACTATCGATTTACTTCGATAGGGCAACAATCAAACGCACCTTGGCAGTTATCAGCATCATCACGTTTCATAGCCTGGCTTAAAAGTCAACGAATACCTCCGCTTTCTTCGACTATGCCATGCCCTATGCATGCCCGCCATCCGATTGTCTCCTCCTATGTTGTCTTTCCGTATTGCACCTAATCCGGTGAAATCCAGTGATATTCCGTCAACACGATGCTAAAACCGTGAAGCTACTCAACGAACAATGCATCAGCAGTACACCGGTACGTCATACCGACTTTTCGATGCCACGCGTTCACCCGGTCACGCGCAGGCTAGAGATACTACGATGATCGCTTGGTCCCTTACGCATCCTAGTACCGGTGACCTGTGGTCTGAAAGGTAGGCACCTTATACTATTCGGTCGCCGGCCGACGACTCACCGAAGCGCTTGTCTACTTCCTGTACGAGGGGAGGGCAGAATCGACCACCTCAATGAGTTTTTGCTCTATCCGGATATGGCTTTGACGAATTCAGTGGCGTTCTCGTATCTGTTGTCTCCTTTTTGCTTCACAACAACTTGCTCCGCCAATTGTGACTCCTGTCCATACTTTTTGAATTACCTATGTCATTACCGTTGTTACCGTCATCATCCTCGTGGTGACAGATGCACGAAGAAAGGTAGCCGAGTGCGCCGTTCATTGGTTCACGGATCACAATCTAACTGCATTTCCTAAAGAGATTACACTCACGATTTTTTGTTGTAGGGACTATATTATTATTTCTGTATTTGGGCAACGCGGTGATATTCCATGCTTGACACCTTTTCGTTCCTCGGTACCCAGCGTTTGAAGGTCAATCACCCATACTCGGTGCTTTCATATCACTGCTCCGATGTGTTTGGTGTTGCCACGGTGCGATTGTGAATCTGTGTCATCCGCTTATTGGCGAGCACCGTTATTTGTTAGGAACAGGCACGGTGTTTTTTATCCTGGTCCTTTCCAGTTTTAAGTTTGATGAGATGACACACAGACCGTTTTTGTTCCACCTGGTTGTTGCACTCATACGCTTGTGCTTATTTTGATTAAGTCACGTGCTCGCCTTTATCCTGTCATCCTGTCGAGTTGTATTTCTGTTTTACGTACCACGACAGGCGTTGCAACACTATTCTATTGATTGAAACACGCTTGTCGTTTGATTCCTCGATTAAGCTATGATCTATGCTGATGTGAAAGTGTTCTCACTCGGCCTATTTCTCCGTGGACTTTTTATTTCGATTTCTGACCCGTTCGTTGGCGCGTATCCATAACTGCATTTTCATATGTTTATTGTGTACCCCCCGCCGACAAATTCGTCTCAAGAAGAGTGATGATGATGACATACCTGCCTGATCCACTTTGGCGGAGTATCGAACCTCCCCCACCTTCTACATCGTTTATTTCTAATTTCCAAAGTCCACTTGATCGTTGTAATGACGAAGCCTCGTTTGCTTCCCTACCTTCATTGGTTCGTTCACTTCGCACCACCCATTCTCACAGCACGTTACTCTTCACAGTTAAGCGCCTCTAGTTCTGCTCCCACAGGTTCATCACTGATTTCGCTGAGGCGTCATAATCTCATGGTCTTCCACGTACCGGAGTCAAAAGATGAAAACCCTCAGATACGTTATGATCACGATGTTGAGTTCCTCCAGGGGCTCATCGATAGACTCTTGGATGTGGGCGAGGACAGTGTGACGATTAAACAAGTAATCCGACTTGGCCAGAAAACTAACCAGTCATGTCGACCTCTGAGGATCACCTTTACAAATCCTAATATGCCGCAGCTCATACTGTCTCGTCTGTCAAGGCTGAAAGGCATAAAAGTTCACATCCGCCGAGATTTGGAACCCGAGGACAGGGATCGTTTGAAGACTGCGGTTATTGAGCTCAAACGCCGTACAGAGGAAGGTGAGACTGACGTACAAGTTGTAAATTTTCGGGTGATCAAGAAGGGTGTACGAACCCGTATCAATCGGTTGCTCAACCTCCAGGCACGTCCCGCAGTACCTCCCAGGACCTCCGTGTCGCATTCGCCAACGTGTGCAGCCTAATGAACAAACGTGACGAACTGTGCCGCTTCGCTGTCTCGGAGCGGCCGGACATTTTAGGACTTGCAGAGACATGGTTGAACTCCGACATCATACCCCAAGAAGTCGTGTTGTCAGGATACTCTTGTTTCCGATGTGACCGAAAATCAAAGGCTCACGGTGGTGTTCTGTTGTACATAAAATCGTCACTATCTGGCAAACGTATCAGTACCTATCGGAGCGAGGATAGTTTATGCGAGCAATTGTGGTGCACAATCCGTCTCAGGCGCGCAGAACTAATTGTGGGGGTTATCTACCGGAGCCCATTAAACCGTTGCTGCGATTGGATACCACATGTACAGAAGCACATGAGCCGCCCTCAGTTCTTACTGATGGGGGATCTAAATTTACCTAAGATAATTTGGCCAGATGTTCGACTTCTTCCCGGTCATGGCAACGTTGAGGCTCAATTCGCTAAAATGACTATTGAAATTGGGGCAACGCAACATGTCATCCAACCGACGCGCGTAACTCCGTACTCGGCATCTTGTCTGGACCTAATGTTTACGAGCTGCGAGCAGAAGCTAAAAGAGATCAGAGTCATCGAATCTCTGGCGAACAGTGACCACTGCTCTATTGTAGCAAGCTTAGAACTGTCGTTACCATATTACAATCAACAGAAGCCGACATTCAACTATTGGAAGACGGACTTCAACGGACTTGTCCAAGCCGCAAGTCAGACTGATTGGACGCTACCACATGATGCGTCACTTGAGGCGTGGTGGTCATTAATAAAGGGGAAGCTTAACTCGCTCTGTACTCGGTTCGTTCCCCTAAAGTATCCAAAAATCGGACCTGTCAAACCGCACTGGTTTGATAGGGATTACAGACAGTTAGCGCGACGACGTCGTAAACTTTGGGACAAATACATCAGCTCGGGTTGTGATGAAGATTACGCGGTGTACAAGAAACAGCGTAACTTATGTAACGCCGCAAAGATCAAGAAACGCCGGCAGTTCGAAGAGGAACTAGCATCCTCGGCCGCAACTGCACCCAAGCGAATATTTGCCTACTTGAAACGTCAACTGAAACCTGGAGACGACCTACCGGTCTCAGAGAGCTTAGACGGGAAGACACTCATTTCAAGCGCGGAGCGCGCGGACGCCCTGGCTACGCATTTCCTCACTGTATTTTCCAGTAAACCGGCGGCTGTTCCAGTACCAGCACAGGTTGCGCCAGTCTTGCTTGACAGCCTACAATGTGATGCAGTCGAAGTACATCAGCTACTCGTCAACCTCAATGGTGCAAAGCCTCCCGGGCCAGACGGACTTCACCCACTAATACTCAAGTCCCTATCGATTATCATCTCACCAGTTGTGACAAACCTTTTCAATAGATCGCTCTCTGAAGGATCTGTCCCCAACGACTGGAAATGCTCGATAGTTAAACCGCTTCCCAAGGGTGGTGATCAGAGTAAAACAGAGAACTATAGACCGATCTGTTTGACTTCGGTATTATCCAAAGTTCTCGAGAAGGTTGTGAAAAAATGTCTGCTGTCGTTCTTCGAATCGATGGACATATTGACGCCAGCGCAACACGGCTTTACGAAAGGGCGATCCTGCATCACCAACTTGATGTACGCTAACCACCAGTGGGTTCGAGCTCTCAATGAACAGAAGGATGTTGACGTGGTGTACATCGACTTTAGTAAGGCTTTTGATAGAGTGAACCACGAGGTACTCCTTCGTAAACTGAGGACATACGGAATCGGTGGCACGTTACTTCTGTGGATACAAGAGTTTATTGTGGGACGAAGGTTTAGAGTACAGGTCAATGACTATCTGACAGAATGGTTCCCATCGACCAGTGGCGTGCCTCAAGGAACTGTACTTGGGCCAGCATTATTTCTTATTCATATCAACGATCTTCCGCAGCAGCTCCAGTCACCATGTGTCCTGTTTGCAGATGATTTGAAAATCTGGAGGATCATTGAAAACCAGGACGACTGCGCTCGCCTCCAGCATGACTTAGAGCGACTGTCAACGTGGTCCACTGAAATGCAACTCCCTCTTAACGCAAGCAAGTCGGAGTTCATCAGTATCACCAGACGTCCAGCCACTCGATCATACACCTTGGACGGCCAGTTGCTCCATCCCAACACATCTGTCAGAGACTTAGGAGTTCTCTCACGACATGATACGAGGTCACTAGAAAATACAGAGAAATTGTACCGTGCGGGACTTCGTATGCTCTGGGCATTACGACGCAGTTTCTCCACCTGGTCAGAAGAAACCGTCCCTCGTCTATTCACCTCGCTCATTAGACCAATCCTTGAATACGGTGCCCCAGCTTACCATCCGATAACCCAGTGGGAAACTGAAAAATTGGAGAAAATACAGCATATCGCAACTAGAATGATACCAAGTCTACGAAAACTTCCATATGAAAAACGTTGTGAAAAGCTCGGACTCTACACACTATCCTATCGCCGAGTAAGAATTGATCTTGTTATGACCCATCGAGTACTACACTTGAATCACTTCCCCATACTACGGCCAATATTTCACCTGCGAGAACCCTGTAACACCCGAGGACATCGTTACAAACTCAGGGTCCCCAGCATGAACAAAGTATCACATCAGCTTTGTATCGAACGAAGAATCGTAAACTTATGGAATACACTACCTGAAGGATTAATAGAGGCCGATTCTGTGAAGTGTTTTAAAACCCGTATCGACGATTATTTTGCAAACCTGTGCTTTTGTGAAACGATGCACATACTGTGCCAAAAGAATACATTGTATGTCCGGAAATAATGATGCTAGTACAAATTTCTAACCGAACACGGATAAACGATTAACGGACCAGACACAACTGCTGATAATTCACAAGTAAATTTTGATTTTTCGTAATTCGATAGAGTTGTACAGAAACCTTTCTACTTGCTCTTAAATACAGTATCAGTATCACACGCCCGTTCATACCAGAAGCGACTCACGGTTTGATAAGTAGCATTTCACAAGTATGAAAAGACACTTGTCTTTTTCTAGGTGATCGATTTGCAACGGTTATTGGAATTTGTCTCCGAAGATGTATTTATCGATCAGATTTTCTTCACGTACTTTCAGCGAAATGGTGGTTTGCAGTTTATCAAATGTATGCAAGAACATATTTCTCGGTGCAATCTTATACCCCTTCCATTCTTGTGCCTTGCCTCAGCTGTGTCACATTGGCAACGCGTCCGTCGGTGGTGTCTCATCCTACGCTTTGGTTATCATGCTTATTCACTATCTACAGCAAAAGGATCAACTGCCTGTATTGCAACAGGTAGGTTCTGTGACATTACCATGCTCGTTTCTTCCACACAACACTACACTAACAGGTTGCTTGCACAACGAGTTTGTTCGCTTCACAATGCCGTTGTTTAAACGCACATTGTGCGAAGCCAGTTCCGAAGCAGTAAACGAGCTGCTTCTGCGCACCGTCGAGCGGTGACTCCTTTAAACTTACTTTTACTCGAACGAATAAACGACTAAACTTTGTTTTCCTTTGTTCTCAGTGTCATATTTGACTAAGTTGCATGATGCTTAAAATTTCGTGGGTGCACATTGAATTCTTAATGAACATCTAGCGACTGAATCCTCCTTCCATTTTGACGCTTTATCCACATTTTTGTGACTTGCTCAATCCACACTACTACCTGCTTCTCACTCTTACCGCCAGGGAAAATCTAATGCACACGAGCAGCTGATTGATACGCATTCTCTTTTACTCGGCCTTATAAGCTAGCCACCGCAGGTTTGATCCGGACTTGTGTTTTACTTCATCTGTGTTCCCTTTTCTCTTCCTTCTAGCTATACGAAGGTGCGATAAAGCCTGTTCATCTGGTCAACGGATGGGACGCCTGGTTCCAGGATGATATCTCTCTGATAGTACGTTGGTAGTTGCTTGATGCTGATGCCCACGACTAGAAGCTTTAGTAGGATTTTCATGATTTCATGCATTTAGCCCAGTATTTTCATTTCATATTTCCTATGTGTATCCAATTTTCGTTGTGTCGACAATAGTTGCTCCACTTTTGCCATCATTCTGTTCTGAACTGACTGTTTTTCTCGCGATTTTCTCTGCATTTGATTTCCATAGCTTAACAGTCAGTTAGATGCTACGGATCCCTTTTCCACTTTCTGCATCCTCGTTTTTTGATCTACGAAGACGCTATCAAGAAAATATTCTCTTTGCGCTACGCTTGGTGGTTCGATATTTCTCTTTCAGTTTATGCGAGAGCATTTGCGAAAGTACTATAATTACTGTTTTGGCGTTTGGCTTGCTCATCTTCCGACATGCACACTGACATCATTCGGTTCTTTCTGCGTTGGCCAGAAAACTCAAAACACCCATTTCAACCGTTTTTCCCTCTACGTTTCGTCTGAGATCTTCGAATTGGCAGCACTGTTGGTTGACCAGATCCTGTCGCTTACGATGCAAAGCGGGTGCTTTTCGTAGTGAAACCATGCTGTTTCGTCCTCGTTTGCACTTTTCAGATGGAGTTAGCCGAAGCTGCGATGGAATCCGGTGCATAGTGGTTAACGGCTGACACCTTGATCACTATGCCGCTAAGACCCGTGAGTAACGCTTGGCATAGCGGTAACCACTTCAAAGTTGAATTTGAAGTACCCACCGTGCGGTCGGATTGCGACAAGCAATCTCTATTAAGACCTCGGTTCACTTTGAAGTAGACTTAGGCCAGCGTGAACCGCGGTCTCAATAGCGATTGCGTATTGCAATGCAATCCCACGGCGGGTACTCCAAATCCAAATTTGAAACTACTCTTCGTTCTAGTCGCTCGATGAATTCCTAGTGCCGTCTTGTACCTATCGGCTAGCCAGATACTCGATCGCCATGAACAGAAGGTTAGGACCGAGATCTGTCATGGAGCATTGTTGGTAACCACTAGCGTTTGTTATGCACGTTGATACACTGCACTCCTTTTCTTCCCTTAAGCTGATTGCAATGATATGCCTAGATTTTGCGGGACGCCTTTTTCTAAAGCATCAGTCCAATAAACGGGCAAGATCTATCACTTTCTGGTTATTGGTTGCATTGGGCAGATAGTGAACGCAATTTATTTCTTAGCGACTGATCATCCCACCCACCAGTTGTTGTGCCAACATTTGAATCGAAATGACATCGGAATCGTTTTAATAGCTTTTGCGTGATCTATGAAGCCTTGACATTTTCCTTTTTGGTATTTGGATAACAATCTGGAATAATTCGAATTCTCAGCAGCATGTATGTTTTCGGTTAGATTTCCTTCATCTGCGGATGCAACAGCGGATAGCAAGAGGGCCGATTTGGCACCACAGTGGTAGGCGAGACATGTGGCAGCTGATAATTGATCGAATAAAAGCGACTGAGCTCAGTACCGAGGAGGAGATATAGGCAATCCTATGCGTAAGCCCCATAGTAACCCGCAGTTCTGATGCTCCGTCCTGGCCCATATCGTCGACACCGGACATCAGATGGATCCAAAGTGTACCTTTAGTACAGTATACAAGGTTCCCCTGCGCCGCTTAGATGGTCAGAGCCTTCGTACACTTATGACGGCCGAAACGACCTTCGTTAATCGTTACGAACGTCCTTATGCTCGCAGAAAAAACTAGTCAAGACTCCTTCAGCTTCCCTAGGCAGCGAAGACGAAAGACGCTGAAGTCAAACGCTGCAACACGCAATAAACCCATTGTGGCTTAGTTCACTTTTCTTCTCTGACATTGACTCGTACGCGATCAATGCGACTTGAACTGAGTGAGTCGATTTTACTTGTTTTGCCTCTGTATGTGATTGCAATGGTTTGAAGATGAATCATTGACAGCGATTGCTCACCGACCATCACAACGAGACAGGATCCTAGCGTGGTGCGATGGTTTGCGTACCCCCGTGACCCGTTGAGCTACGCTGTTTGACACTCATGTCAGACTGGTCAATGGTTAGGGGTTAGTCTCACAATGCAATCCTCTTCGTAGGTTAAGGAGAGGTCGATGGCCCTCTTCCTTTAAAATCTATCCGTGAGAAACAACAGGTCTATGGGTTGTAAGCTCACGGTTCGATTGGTGTAAAACACCGGTACCACGTATTATTTGTTGGAGGGTGGGCACCTTCCGGTGCTCAATAGTTTGCTACCGCCCTCCTCAAGTCAGGCAATCCCTGGTCAAATTGGTGCAAACCCGCCAACTCCCATCTGCGGCTAGTCGTGATCGCAGCTGCGTAACATAATACGGTCGTAAAACATGTGTGCATTGTTCTAACTCTGCAAAGCCTGTACATGACAGAATTCAAGCAGCTCCCTGGGTCTCTGTAATCACACACCCGAGCTGAACTTGTTTCCCACTCCCTTGTGGATCAGGCTATTGAGTCAAAGGCTCGGAGTGAACTTCCTCAAGCGAACCTCCATGTACCCCACTGCCTTGTGGGTCAGACTGTTGAGTTAAAGATTAGAGGCAGGGCATCTCAAACTAAACCCTTCTCTCGGAATGGGCAGTTGGGAAGTATCATTGATCCTCTCGACCACGTCGACAATATTCCCACTTTTTTGTTTTCTCTCTTCTCCGTCTATTGAACAAAAGAGTGCCACTGACCTCGCAGCTGCTGCCATCGATACATGCAGCTCTTCCAACAAACCTAGAGTTTCACTTCACATCGGTTCTTTTTATGTCCGCACTCTATGTGAGATTGGCCAGCAGACAGCACTTACTCTTGCTCTTCACTCACTTGGTATTGACGTGTGCTGTGTCTCCGAAGCACGCACACAAGATAACAAAGTCGTGACAAATCTTCGACTCCCTGGTTCTGAATCTGATGATGAAGACTAGACCATTCGCGTCTCTGGCGATACCGAGTCAACAACTCAAGGTATTTACGGTGGTATCGTCCAGAGCAATCTGATCGACTGGATACTGGTAAACAGATGCATGTATGCGGTTCGATTTCGAACCACTGTTTATAATCAGCGTCTGAAGACAGCCCATTTTCCTACTGCATGCGGTTCATAGGGTATGCAAGACGAGGTCTATCAACGGCTTTCAGGTCCATTTCACATGACGAAGAATACTACGTCATGCCTCTTGCTGGTGACATGAATACCCAAGTGGGTCGTCTTGTAGATTGTGAACGACACCTAGGCGGTCGCTTCGGAGTTGGTGAAAGCCAGACACTGGCGATCAAATCTTATAACTGTGCGCCGACCACAACCATTACAGTAGCAGCAATGCTTTGCAGCACAAACGTCCACCTGGCGGCCACCGAATTACTCAATGACCTGGATCCAAATTGACCATATTGCCATCAGCTACAGATAGCGCATATCAGTCCAAGATTTTCGGTCAATTTGGAGAACTTGCCTGGATTTCGACCATGCGCCAGTGCGCGCACGCTTGATGCTGATACTTCCGCCTCAAAGAAGCGACTGTTTCATAACCTTATCTGTAACTTGAACTAGTAATCTGTCGTTCAGCAATATCATGACGAACTGGCCCACCAATTGTCAGTGATGAATGAGGCAAGTGAGCCGAACGGTGACTGAGATTGTCTTAAGTCTGCCTTGAATAATGTGTTAGACGCCTGCTGTGCACCCAACTTGAGACGTCGTAACTGTGAATGGAACTCTGAGGCATCGATCAGCTTGATGGAAGCATGGATGCAGGTCCCGATAGGCACTGAGTTTATGTATGTCCGTAATTCTCTGAAACGACGTCTAACAAGGAGTCTTTGAATTGACCGGGAACGTTGGTGGCTCGCAAGGGCCCGTGGGATAGAGAAAGCCAGTGTTATTCTAGCTCATCTGGAACACAGGTCCGAGAAAGCCATCAGTTAACGAGAGAATCGCTGAGAAAGATGGGCTGTTGATTCCTTCTTGACGTCGTCGACTAGCTCATTGGGCGGAACATTTTGAGGAACAGTTCAGCAGACCTGCTACGACATTGCCTTCACCGACTCGTCTGAGTCATCGTGGGAAGCAGATGTCACACCTCTCTTTGGAAGAGATTCCACATGAGCTTTCTAGGTTAAAACGAACCAAGGCTCCTGGGCCCGACGACCTTTCCCCATCTGCTGAAAGATGGTGCTGACCCTTTTTTGACTGGACTCGTTACTCTATTAACACGAGTTGGAACAGTGATGTTCCTTTTCGGGTTTTGGAGCACTCGCCGCGTGTCTTGGATTGCGACGCGCAATCTCACTCGTGGCGTCGGTTGACTTTGAAGTCAGCCTCTGCCAATACGGTCACTGGGACCGTCACCGAAATGGTGAGTTTCGGTGTGGAGTGAAGATGTGGAGAGTGTAGATGTTCCTTCAGTCTGGAAACTGTCAGCTATCTTGCCTATCTTCAATTAGGGTCACCGTACTTTGTGCTAATACCGTCGTGGCATTAGCCTTGGTTCCGTTGCCTCCAAACTTTTCACGTGTCATTCTCCGACGACTTACTGGTTCCCATGAGAACCGAATCACTGAAGGCCATGCTACCTTCCGCCCTAGTCATGGTTGTATCGACCACCTATTTACTCTTCGCCAAGTGTGGGAACAGCGACACACATACAGACGACCGACATTGGTTGTTTCCTTTGAGTTGTATACTACCTTCCACTCTGTTGACCGCACCAGCTTGTGGCACTGCTTATGTATGAAGGGCGTACCGGCTAGATTCTTTTCCATTCTTAGGTCTCTCTACCGTGACTCACGAGGCCGTGTAAGCTTCTACGGGAAACTGTCTTCTGAGTTCCCCACGACAAGTGGGGTTCTCTAGGGTTGTTCTATGTCTTCGTTCCTCTGTGTTACCGAAATGATCGTGAGTGACCCCGTTCTTTCAGACTACCGGAGTGGAAGTTCTACCAGGTGACCGACTGACAAACTTGGAGTATGCGGATGACATAGCTCTTCTTGGGTTTAACGAAGTAGCTATACAAACACTGCTAGATAGGCTGACGCGTAGCGCCGCACGCTTCGGCATGTGCTTTGCGCCTTCAAATTGCCAAGTACCGCTTCATGACTGGACCGACACACCACAGGTTCTAGCTATCGCCGAACAGCCACTGGATCGGTTCACTTACCTTGGTAGTTGTCACCTCAGAGGATTACGTCACTGAACCTGTTACTTCGCATATCAGTAAGGCCCGTGTCGCTTTCCAGAGGCTCAACCATCTATGTAGACGGCGGGAAATCAGCCTATCAGTAAAACGTAGGGTGCGTAACGCTGCGGTATGGCGGGTCTTTCTGTATGGATCAGAGACCTGGTCAGTTTGCGGCGAAGACACTAATGGCTTGGTCGTCTTTGACTGTCGCTGTTTGCAGAGTATTACTCACGTCCGGTGGGAACACCGAGTGAGCAATGCTGAGGTCTGCCAGTTGATTTTTGTCAAGAAACCTCCCAGTGCCTCACTCGAGGGTTTGCTAACTCTTAATCGCTTACGTTTGCCAAGCTTATCCTACGTATGCCCGTTAACGGGCTTCCTCGGCGTGCATTATACACCGTGGCTACACCAAGTTGGGTGAAACCGCGAGGTGGCCAGTCCTTGACGTGGCATTGTAAGATGAAGAAATTGAATGAGGCACTTGGTCAGGCTGGTGCGTGCCATCTTCGTGAATGGGGGCCTCGGGATGGTCCACCCCAATAGTTTGAGACCGTATCTCACACGGTGCAGTCACACAGTCAGTGGCGTTCCTGCATTCGGTTTCTTGTATCTGGTTGTTAATTTTCGTTCCCTTCTGATTAGTTTGACGCACTTCTTGCTTCCATTTTCTTTACTTTTTGTTTGCCTTTAGCTCTACTCTCTTGCCGGTGTTATTTGTAAGTAGTAGGGGTTTTATTGGGATTTTTGTAAAGATTCGTCGCAGTTAGACTCACCCAGACAGCCACCACACACCCAGGAAAGCGCTAAAGGACAACCTAGACGTTGTTTCTTGTTGTTCTTGTGATATGAATCGTGGCAACTGGACCCACGACACTTTAGTGCTCGGATCATAGTTGATCAACTGGAAACCGAACTGATTGCTCACCGAATGGCCTCCTGAGTTCTCGAAACTTAAATGCGCATTTTCGTTTTACCTAGATTTATGTTTGCTGTTATAGTATTTTCATGATCGATCATGCACTGGATACAGCAACAAACTTTCAGTAGTAGTCTGATCTCACACGTTTGTGTTTAAGGACTCTAGAACTGATAGCGCCGTTGTTCCGCTGGTGGATTATCAGCTTTAGTAAGTGCCATGTAGCCGTCGCTACTTGCTGTGTCTAACGGATGAATGTCTCCTCATTGAAAACATTGCCGATGTTCAGTAAAGACAAAAGGGCTCCGAAATGCTATTCAGGACGATGCTTTATAGGCATTAGTTGTAGTTTCGACCTGCTTACCAACTTCGAAAACTTGAGCGCATATGCGCTGTGTAAATATCTACCCAAGAGACTGGCGTATGTGCTGTACCGAATGATGCCTCCTTATTAAGCAGTCACTCATAGAGCACTCGATCGGTTCGTGTATCATAGGTTTCTTGACTTATATCTTTTGCAGAAATCAATGCGCTGTCTCGTACAGAATGGACTTTTCAGAGCAATGTATGAAGTCGTTTCCAGCCTTTCCGTCTAAGCTGCAGGTTGACGTGTCTAGTCTGCCGCCTGATTTTTTATCCTTGTGTTGGTGTCTCATTGATCTCGCTTGTTAGTGAAAGCCCTCATATGTTTACCCGGAATACTATTTCACTTCTCTTGCTTGTTCGGAGCTATTTCCATCATTCATCTTTTATCTACAAACCATAGATCCAGCCCCCCTTTATTGACCCGTGTTTTACACCCCACCCCAACTCAGCGACGTCTGTGGACACCACCTGAGCGTCGAATGTCTTTGGGAGAGCTGTGGCTTGGCTTCTTCCGCTACTTCCTCTTTGAGTTCGACCGTGATGTCAACGTAGTTTGCATTAGACAAAAGAAGATGTTACCTCGATTCTTAAAAATGTGGGACTCGCTTTTTGCCGTCGAAGGTACGTACTTCCCACACGGTTCTGTTTCCCTCCCTCGGTTCATATCAGACTTTCTGGATCTCCCCTAGGCTCTTTCTGTTCACCGCATCTTCTTAGTTGATAATGACTCAGCCGGCGCATTGTTCTCAATTCATTGACGTACGGTGGCAACTTTTTCCATCGTTTTTGCTTGATCTCATTGTGCATTTGTTCGGTTTTAGACTTCTGAAATCCCACGCTGGTTTTCCAGTGCACTTGTTAATCCTTTCTGGGATAGATAATTAAAAACGGCATGCCTCCATGTCAGGTGCACCTACCGGCCGATTAACTTGGACTTTTGCCGCTGATGTCTCTGCGGTTTCAGTAAATCTGTTCATCTTTTGACTTCTTTCTGCTTTATTTCCCACTGTTTCATTCCCACCATCAGATGATGCCGGCAGTCTATTTTGTTTTATTTTTTATCTTAACTTCAGACTCTTTTGACTTTCTTCATTTGCTGTGCTGTTTTTTGATATTATATTTTTCTACTTGATTCCATCGCCGTTCCGTGCTTTATACATCCACTGGATCTTTTTCACTCCTTTCGTCAGCCGTTACGTCTCTATTAGCCATTGTCATTTAACTTCTTGGGCTACCTTGAAATAATAACGTGAACTCTGCCCTATTAGCTAATTCTGGAATGCGCTTCTTCCCATCTCCATCGCGACGATGGTTTGCGTGCCTAAGTGACCCATTGAACTATTCTGGGTGTTGGAAAGTAAACATAAATTATCAAAATAGGTAAAGATGTAGTGTAACAAATCAGTTGTTGCCACCTGCTTATCGTAAACTTCTCAGTCAGTCGTCTGACGAACTCCGGCTCCAGTTTAAGTAGCCGCGCAATCGTTGGGTTGAACTGCAGACGTTCTGGCCTAACATGGTTGGCGGCATCCGGTTTCGGATTTGCCTGTCACTGTGCCCAGCCACAGGACACCTGCACCTACAGAAGGACCAGGGATGGCTTGCGCTGCACCACAGCTTTATCCACACACTCCATATCCAGTGTAAACCCGAAGGAATAAGACCGGGAGGCATGTGGATGGGAGCCACGTTTCTTCAACGGAGCCGGCCCACACTCCTTCACAGACAAACACAAGCAAGCTGTATTTGGAGAATCAAGCGGCCACAAGGCGGTGGCTGGACTGTAGTCCGTCCCACACTGAGTGCATGGAACCACTCTTCGAGCCTAGCACCGTGCACCCCGTCCCCTCCGGCAACGACCAACTGTCTCCTAAAGCCAGTATGGACGAGATAGTGGATAGTAGACAGGTAGGCACCTTGTCGACATGCACATCATGCGCAGCCACACCGGGGATGTAAAACAGCAGCCAATCACTTGAACGGACATTATCAAATAAAAAATCTTAAAGCATACGGCTGTACCAGCATAACTCCGCTACATTGGCATATGAAGTCAGTTGGTTAGCAACGAATCCGCGATAAGTAACTTCTGGACATTTTGTACTTATCTGGTCTAACAAACTCAGAAACTAATTTTCATGCCTTAATTGAATTACGGGTATTGCGATAAGGATTTTTACACATCGATGCATTTAGCACTTTCACTGATATACAAAATCAGGTATTATTGACGTTATCATACTGATTTTTTTACTTTCGTAATGCTGCTCACAATGTGTGGTCGGATGAGTGCGCAGTCTAGGTCACTACTGATGGCGGAGTGTGATTTCTGTCGTGGCGTTTGTCTGTGAGGGTCACGTCGGCTAAATGAGTCACCCTGGCCCTGACGACGGCCAACGTCTACAACAAAGGTCAGGCCTTATCTAGGTATCAATACTTGCTCCACTCTCCAACCTGACCCGATTACGCAACTAATTGACCCCCCACCCTAGCTTTATCTCTGCTAACCGATAACAATTTTTCTGCGTGCTATTGCGAGTTAGATCTACCTCCGTTGGAACACAACTATTTTTTGGCGAAACAAGAGCTAATGAACGATAACAAACTTTCGAAACGTAGGCAATCACCGGTTTGCATGTACAAATTGTCACCCCAGAACATAGTTGCTTCCGTCTTTGTACACAGCGAAAGCGTGCCACCGGTATGACCTTGTCATATGGCTCCACTATTGTGTAACATTTCAACCACCTGTTTAAGTGATCACTTCCCAGTTTTATTTTGGGCAACATGTGAACGCAATGTAAGCATTTAATTATTTTTAACGTGACCCGATTTTGTTAGCTGTCGTCAATCACTCCACTTGTTTGTACTTGCGCATCTAGCAGAGCCTTATATGAGTAACTGCTGACGTCCCTACTCGGGAACATTATCTCGCACTGCCAAAAATAAACGCTTTATTTCTTGTACTTGGAAAAACCAATTAAAGTACTTTGCCCGCTTCTGTTACCATTAAAAAGACGGCGCCCTTTGAGCCCAGTCCCTCGTTTCATAGTCCGGCTCGCGTGTACCGTAATTTCCAATATTTCAAGCATTAAGTGCATTTCAAACAGTCATCATCTGTTGATAGTCGGATTTCGGTGTACTCGCCGTGTGTATTGGATTGCGACACGCAATCTCAGTTGTAGCCTCGGTTGACTTTGAAGTCAGCCTGTGTCAATCCGATCACTGGGACTATATCCGACCGAAGTGCTCCAATTCAGCCATCATCTGTTGTTCACACAGGCCATTCATCGGATGTTGTCACGTGATAGTAGTTAGTGTTGCGTGTCTATTCAACTGTTACTATCTTCTTCTTGCCCCTAGACCCTTTCAATTTGGATCACAATCTCACAGGCAGCCTGCGTAGAGATTGTAAGTTTTGACAGTTGTGATCATAATTCCCGCTTTTTCTCTCTGCCTCTCTCTCTAATCTCATACCTGCAGTGGGCGCCACTTTTACACATGACATTGCTTATATCAGAACTAAAGTGTAAACTACGAGGTGTATTCAAAAGTGCGAACTTTTGAAATAGCGCGCCACCCGGCAGAGGGCGCCCGCTGAGGCTACTGAGGACATGTGGTAGCTCGTTTAGACAACAAACTATTATTTACCGCATTTCGCTCTGACTGTTAGTTGGCGAGGTACAGCCGCTGAAATGAACACGTGTACAAGCTGTTCGTCGGATTATTGCCAAGGAGCCAATGAATAAACTTGAAAAACAACGTGTGTGTGTGTGTGTGTGTGAAATTTTGCTACCAACTGGACAAAACTTTTACAGAAGCTTCAATTGCTTTGCCGAGCATACGAGGAGGACTGTATGGGTCGCAGGGTTAACGGTTTAAGTGTTTTGAACACGACACTATGTCGTCGGTGATGATCCCAAGCCTGGACGGTCTTCCACATCACAACAGACGATGACCGTGTCGAGAGAGTTCGTGCTATGATGCCTGGTAATCGTCGTTTAACTGTTTGAAAAGTTGCTGTCGAATCAGGCCTCGGCGTAGGATCATGTCATCAAATTTTGAGTGGCAAACTTGAAATGTCTCGTGTCAGTGCTAAATTCGTGCTGCGTTTATTGACTGACAAACAGAAACAGAACCGTGTTGAAATCTGCCAGGAACTGCTTGCCACTGCCAATATAATGGAAACTTCCTTGAGAACATCATAACAGGCGATGGGACATCAGCTTATGGTTACGATATTGAACCAAAGATGCAGTCATCATAGTGAATGTGGAAAGGGTCTCCTCGTTCTTAAGGCACACATTATTCGGTCAAAGATCAAGATCAGATGACTGAAAAGGCATTGATTAGCTGGAATTTGTACCACCTGGTCAGATGGCAGACAAGAAAGTCTAGCAAGGAATTCTAGTGCTTTTAAAGGATACTGTGCGCGGAAAGAGGCCTGAACTGTGGGAAAATCAGACTTGGATTTTGCATCCTAACAATGCTTCGGCTCTCGCATCGCCCCTTGTCCGCAGCTATCTAGCAAAACATCACACTTCACCGTATTCTGCGGACCTGTTTTCCTGTTTTCCAAACTTAAAATCCCGTTGAAAGGACAATACGACAAGAGCCCTGCGTGCCATCCCAGAAAGTGCGTTCCAGGGAGCTTTCCAAAAATGGAAACACCCTTTTGAACGGTGTATTGCCAGTAGAGGGGACTACTTTGAGGACGAAAGTGCCTAGGCTGTTGTGCAGTTAGCAATGACGATGTTATAGCAAAAGTTCGATTTCTTTTTGAACACACCTCGTATGCAGACCGTTAGGCTCGTGCATGCATTCGCCGTATGGGTGATCGCGTTTTTTCATTGACGCGTCATTCCTTTCCTCTGATCTGTTGTAGCCCTTCTATGTATTCTCGACGTATTCTATGCTGTTCTGGTCCACCATACAACAACGTTGCCTGACAACATGCCTCTTGGCGAATGGCGATAGTGAGTCTCTTTATTAGCAATACATTGCATTTGATTCACGTGGCTTTTCAATTATTTGAATGATTTTTCGCTCTCTCCTAGGATCGCCATTTCTTTATACGAACGCTGCTTAAATCGACTGAATGAGAACGGTTATATGCTTTGATTGGAGGGTCATTTTGTAGCACATGTGTGGTTTGATTACGGCGCGTAATCTCAATGTGGGCTGTTATTCCCATTGAACTGAACCTTGGTCATTCGATAACTAGGACCGCAGCTGTAACAGATGGAAATTTGGTGTTGCCCTCCAAAAAATCATACACTCCATGACGCGTTTCGATTCAATTTGATATCAGATAGATATAGCAGGCATCTCTATATGATGAGGTCAAATGAAGCATCTAAACTGAATATCCATGGCTCATCCTACACCACCTGACCTGAAAGAGACTCAGTAGCAAGGAGCCAGCCGGCGTTCCTTGCCGTGAATTTGGGGCACCCATGCTGTTTCGGATTTTCTCACTGACTCCTGCGTTCCTGGAACCACTGGTGCGAATGAGATGGAAGGGCTTGCGATAAATGTCTGCTGCTCGAGCCTCCTCCATTTCTTTAGTCAGACTGGTCCTTTAGGCTTCCTTGTTAGCACCCAGGCTCCTCCATAATTCGCGCCTACTAACCTGTCTGGTAACATTGTGCTCAGAGTCAGCCGGGAGGTTTCTTCTGGATTCCAACAGGTTCACCAACCTCTCGGATATCCAGTAACTGGTGCAATAACGATTGATAGTACCGCAAGCAGAGGCTCCTGCGTCAAGCTTGGCGGCCGAGATTCTATTCCACTAAAGCCCAATGTATTTAGGATGAGAGAGCGAAAGTTTGGTATTCAGTGCATCCTGGTAGACTTGTCTGGTCTAGAGCTGAGATAGCTTCTCAATGCCCGATCGAGGGCTACGCATGGTACGTCTCCCGGTAAAATCATTGGAAAGACATTGGCGTTCCAAAGCATGACCAGAGTCGTTGCAGATTTTCCAGAATGAGCGATAGTCCAGTATGGAACCACTCCACCTGAAACTTATCGCAACGTGATCTATTTGGGTCCATCTCTGACCAGCTACAGGAGAACGCCAAGTGGTACTTCTGCGCCGACTGTGTCTAAAAGCGGCGCTGCTAAGAAACAGCCTGCGCTCCCGCACATAGCTGTAACGGACGTTCGCCGTTGTCCGTCTGGTCGGAGTTAACTTCATCCCTACTACCTAGACTAGCTTCTGAAGAGCTCAGATGACCTACTTACGCATTCATACCCCTGCAACAACAGCGATATCTTAGATGGCAACGCTGCTAAGCAATGTGTTCAGTTAGTGGTAGAAGGCGTCCTTGGCAGCATCAGAACTTCAGTCGGTGGGGGTATAAGCGGAAACCGCAAACAAACAGCATCTAGTGCTACTCCGTGGGTCAACCTCGGTCGATGAGGTCGGACGGGCTGAACACAAACTGCAGTTCACGGGAATCTACTCAACCAACAATCACTAAGCCTTGGAACTGCAACGATGCCTACCTCCGCTTAACTGCCGCATCAGCGTCTCCAGATGCGTGCAACCAATGGCGAGAGGATAAACCGGACGCAGTTAATTCAGCAACCCCGTAAGAGTCATGGATCCTATTTTCGTACGTGCATCATCACCATCATCAGTACACGTTAGCTGAGAGTAAGAAACACACCTCGGCTAATGTGCTGCAACACAAAAGATGAGACTAAAAGATTACACTACAAATTACACAAATTACACTGCGAAAAATATGATGTGAAATATTATATTATGCATTTTGCATGAGATCGTGATTGGAGGGGGATGGACAAAGAAACTCACAATACGAACGCCATTGGGGCCGACTATTCGCCATATCAGCAAGTGTTCCAACCAAACGTGTTCATCGTCCTTAGGACCCCAGAAAGGCAGTCGCGCGACACCAACCGACGCCAGCTTCGAAGCGACAGACTTCATTTCTGCTGACCAAGTCATCGCTTGGCCTCCCCTTCTCTTCCAACCGCACCCACGGCGCGCAAACAATACACGTCGCGGGAGTCGGTGTGCTGGCATGCGCAATAAGTGGCCCAGCCATCGGAGCCTGGTGCTTGATATAATGGTGCTGAGTGGTTCACTCGCTCTTCCTGCACCAAATACGCGACGCCGAACACGCCCATTGCTCACGCGGTGCTCCCACTAGACATGAGCTAAGATGCGAAGGCAGCGATGATCGAATATGGCAAGCCTGTTTATGTCTGTCGACCTGATGGGCCAGGTTTCACAGCCATATAGGAGAGTTGAACGGACGGCTGCGTTATACACTCTGCCCTTCAGATCGAGAGTAATGTCGCGTCTGCGCCACAGTTGGTGGAGATTGGCAAAGCACATCGAGCTTTTGCTATATGGTTCGTAACCTCATCTTCGATCCATCGGGCGCTAATATAACTGCCCAGGTACTTGAATTCCTGAACGACTTCTAGCAGATCACCACAAAGCGTTAGCGCAGTGGTGGGTCCCTGCCAATCTTGGAGAAGTACATTGCATTTCGATGGAGCAAAGCATAGCCCAAAACGATGGACAGTCAGTGCTACTCGGTCCAGTGTTTCTTGGCATGTTTAGGATCTGTCACAGATTTGAACAATATCGTCCGCATACTCCAAGTCAAAAAGTCGCTCACCATGAAGTAGCTCCACACCTAGGTCGTGTCCAGGGAATGCTGTTTCCATGACTTCGTCAACTGCGAACATAAAGAGGAAAGGTGACAGCGGGCAATCTTATCTCACACCGCTGGTGATACTGAAGGATGGCGACAGTTGGCGATAAACCCTCACTCTGCCCGAACTATGCACTTACAGCGCTTTGATAATGTTTACGTATTTATCAGGTACACCTTTCCTCAGCAGGCATCCAAAGGGACATATATATCCACTGAATCGTAGGCACCTTTTATGTCTAGAACCACGACAACGGTGGGTAACCAATAAACATGGTGGTGCTCCAACACTTGACGCAAAGTGGAGATGTGGTCGATGCAACCCCGATCTCAACGAAACCCGACTTGCTCTTCACGAATCTGGCTTTCACGGGTGCCAGTCAGTCTGTGGAGAATGACAGAGGCAGTTGAGATCAGACGGATCCCTCTATGATTGTCGAATTTCGAACGGGAGCCTCCCTTGAAAATTGGGACAAATGACGGAGCGGCTCCAGTCTGTCGGGACAATCTACTGCTCCCAAAGTTTCACTAACAACTCGTGTAAATCATCTATTAGAGCAGGTCCCTCGAATTTGAAGAGGGCTGGGGGAATTCCATCTGCTCCTGCGGTCTTATGCAATTTCTACGCCTGATCACACCTTCGACTACTGCGCGTGAGGGCGGATCCAAGGAGACGGCCCATGGACAATGGCGCACAATGTCCGAGAAATAAAGAAATAACTCAGGTTGGCTAAATTGCTTTGCAAATTGTTCGGCCCAATGCTCCAAGCGTTTTGACAAGCTGTGAATCATCTGTCCACTCTCGTCGCATATGGTCTCGCTATCACCAGGTCTCCTTCTGCCTGTTTCCCGTATCGAACGGAATAACTTACAATGATTCCTAACGGTAGCGGCTGTTTCCATCTCCGTGTTACGACGAGGCCACCAGGCTTCGCGGTTTTTCTTCAGGCTAGCACGTAGTTTTACCCTGAGATTTTTGCGCGCCTCATTGTATTCGCTTCCAGCCGGAATACGTCGGCGAGCATCCGTAAGTTCCAGAGACTTTTTAGTGACCCAATGTCCAGTATGGCAATTTGATTTGCCACATGAAGACATGCCTGCTGATAGTAACGTTTGACGAATATGCGACCAGTGATCTTCGACGGTGTTCAGCGGGCGCTTACTCAACCCGGGTGTCAGCGTACAGCGATACACATTCAGAACACCTGACTCCGCCAGCTGGCTGGTGTCATTCCGTTCAACTCGACGTTGCGGACGTCTACCGAAACGCACCCGCAGGTGGGCAAAGACAAGTGCGTGGTCAGAGTCCACGTTCGTGCTCTAAATCGAGCGACAGTTTTGGACACAGCCTCTCCAGCGGTAACTGATCGTGCTATGGTCGATTTGCGTCCCTGGCTGGCCCGAGGCTGGTGGCCTTCAAGTCTCCTTCTGCTGTATCGAAAGTTTGTGCTCGCGAGAAAGAGACGAGCATCTTCACACAGCTGTAGCAATCGCTCACCGTTATCATTACGGGAGCCTACACCATGTTCGCCGCCCAAATGAAGCTCATCAAATGACAATTCTGCTTGAACGCTTAGATTGCCAGCCAACACCACAGTATCCGTGCTTCTTCTGTAACGAATGAGCTCATGAAGTTGATGATAGAAATCATCTTTTACCCAATCAGTTCTACAGTTTGTAGGTGTGTATGCCGCAATAACAAACAGGCACCGTTTGTCCCCGCGCGACTTCAAGGCTCTGAACAAATCAGTCAGTCTGACGGGGCACATTCGTCTGTTGACTGGGATCTAGTCAATCAGGACAGCTTCAGCCCGGGGACTCAAAACAATGCCGACACCAGTCTGACTGGTATTTGAAGCTGCATCATCGCCAGACAGGCGCAATGAGAATGTCGTCAGTGTCGCATGTGGGGGATCTCAGGTTAAGCCCGGAGCTCGAATCTTGCAGGCGGGTTTCTCATAAACAGCAAATATCGATTGATGGGGTCTCTAGTGTGTGGGTAAGTGCTGTTTGTTGGCCAATCTGTAGCAAGGTGCGCACGTTGAGGCATGTCGGACACGAGGACTCCAAAGGGAAACGGATGGACTGACGTTGTCCGTTTGGTTGGACATGGACTTGTCAACTGGATTGGAGTGATGCTCTGCGACTGTGTGTGAGTTGAAACTAGAAGACAAGCGACTATTGAAGCAGGTGGGGGAGGGCCAAGAATTGAGGAATTGAAAATGGGGGATACAAGTAAAGTTGGAGCAGGACGATAGTGATGAAAAAGCGCAAGTAGGGGATAAGAAGACGGGAAGGCCTGAGCAGTAGCATCCATACGCCTATCAACCCTGCTCGATGCAGCGGATAGGGCGCCGTTGATTATCTTCTGCGAGGGCCAGAGCATCAAGAAATTGTTAGAGAAATGGTTCATCGTATTGCGTGGGAAGAATAATGCAACTTACGTCAATACGCAGTGTGTCCAAGTAGCGTGTACGTGCAGTCTATCGACCAATTTTCATAGTTTGAACGTTGAACGACGGCAACGAAACGGGACAGCGTAGCTTTTAAGGGGGTTTTGTCGATAGGAGTCCAGCGTATTATGCGGGAACATAGCTGCAGTGGTATTGCAGCTGTTGTGGGCTATGGTGGAAAATCCAAATTAGGGTTAGCATTGGGGATTGAACGGGGAATAAATGAAACAGGTAGGAAAAAGAAGGTAGGCGCCAGCAATTGCATATTTCCACTTATCCGCCATGCTATATGCAACAAGTAAGGCAACCTTCGTAAGATTGCGCGTCGCTCGATGTAGGGTATGGTTGAAATTTTATGGAAATGGTCATATTTGTGCTTAGGTCGTGATGTTGCCAGAGTGCACGGACTCAGACAGTAGAACGGTTAGTGTCATCAACCAAGACCTTTGGCTCAAAAACCTATTTGCAAGGCAGACAGAAACGGATGCTATCGCATCACCAACCATTAACCTGCAGGACCAGGAAACTGAGTGTCTGACCTCTAGCCATTAACCAACCTGGTAGGGGTAGGTCTAAAAGTAGCAGAACCCATTATGTCGCAGTGGGTCGAAGAGGTACGCAAACGGTCGCACCACGTTGCTGTGACGGAGCTCTGAGTTCGCAAATGTGGGATGACATTGTCATTGCGGAATCGTTCCCTGTATCCTATGTTAGTAAACTGCTGTACGGACTCAGCCCCCACGACATGTTCTAACAGACTGTTCCAAACGTTTACTACTCTCCATTCGGAATACATGGAGTGGATACCCTGATGTGAAATTGCGCCTTTCGAAGTGGCTGTTTTATATAGACAATAAGAAATATTTAATTTACTACGCATCCTTTGTCGTACATGTATGATTACAATCACTAGATGTGCTTCGCTTAACAGATGGCCAATGGTATTTGCAATTTAAACGGACAAACACATTGTTCTTACTTCATGTGTCACCTCCAACTCAGGATTGTGTGTAGTTGACACCGCGCGTAACTTGTGATGCCATAAAGTTGCTTCTGCTGACTTACCGCCCCTATCTCTACTTATTGTGCCCCATTTTCTCCCTACCTGAATAAAGTATGATTGTGTCGACGAATGTTCACAAGTTCGAAACATATTATGGGAATGCAAACCTGCGAGCCCTTTTGTCATGTTATCTAACATCTATCCTTTCTTCATTTCATTCGTAGTCCTGTCTAGTCCCTCATTTTGTGACATACTGACGTACAACCGTTTGACTCATGAGCTCATCTTTTTGGATGGCATCATCGGACAACAGCTACTCTGTGTTAAGTTGTCACCTGCGTAGTCTATGCATGCGGCCGACATCTCACTGGCTATCATGAATTTGTGCATTTTTAGAAACCGGTCGTTTAAAGCGTTTCTTAATCCCATCGAGTATCGATCGTTTTATTCTGTTCTGCATCATAGATGTTCCATATGAGCTTACATTTTCTTATCTTTCTCTTTCTGTCTTAAGCAAATTGTTCTCCCCATCTTGTTTGGCCGCAAAGCAGCGGCGCAGTCCTCCGCCCAGGTCCAAGTGTCAGCGATGCCACGAATTCGGTCATCGTGCTACGGACTGCCCTACAAAGGACCGAAAGAACTCCGGGATAATTGCAGCGTCCGCTGATTCATATGTTGATACTCTTGTGGGTCATTTCCTCACCAACAATTCTAAGCCGCCTGACGCATTGAATACTCAACCATCTGATGTGAATAAAAACACAGATAACGTTTGGTTTCGAGGAAAAGGAATACCGCAGTCCGAAACCCATCAGCCACGTCCGCCATCTGTGACCCATGTGAGATTTTCCAATCCTCCCGGGTCACTATACACCCCAAACGTTGTTCCCCGAGCTCGCTACTCAGCATTCTCAAATTATGCACCCAGACCTAGGGCGAATATCATGCACCCCCCTCATCCTCAGCTATTGCCAAATCGACTATGCCAACCAATAATGCAATCGCCCCGTGTCCCGGCTTCACTGACGGTGAACTATCCTCCCGGGAGCCAATCAGTAAATACAATCTCACTTGTACAATTAAGCAACCCGCAATCCACTCGAACCGACCAAGTTAATGATCGACGCTCCGTTGTGCTCTCTCCCAGAGTAGTCGTTTGGCCTGAAGTACGGACGCAGCAGCAGTCACCGGCTGTTCGGACACCGGGACCACTTCCAAGTACGTAAAGAACCAAAGAATGACAGCAATTTGGGTGGTTTTAGCGCCCTGTTATCATCTATTTTCCTTGCACTACAGCAAGGTACTCTAGCTATTGAATAGTATCGTTACTGTGAGTTGAAACTGCGAATTCAGGCGCTACCGGGACCTGGTCGCAGATGTTGAATAGCCAAAAATCACTACATTTGTGGTTTTCACTATGAGTGTGCTCTGTGAGATCCTACATAATGTGTCTGCTCGGGGTACATTTCTAGCGATCGGACTGTCCGATGTTTTCTCTATTGCAAATTTGTACCGCGCATCACAATCAGAGCACGCGGTAGATGCTCGCAAAGCAACCAGTGAAATCGTGCTTAGCTTGTTCTTGTTCTCCACTGGGAAGGACTATCGATGCGCAAGATTCTCGGTTTTACCGCTGTCTCTCAGCAATGCTATCAGGATATGTTCCAATTTGCTCGGTTTGCGAGTGTTTTGCTTCACTATGACCCCAAAATCCCAAGACACCCTCATGCAGACACACTGGCTACTCTTTCAACCGCAAATTGCTCTCGTAAGTGCCTCACCAAATGCACGCAATAAAAGAACCCGGGTAGGTTAGTTCTCGAGAGGCTTGCAGTTATCTCATTGTACCCGAGACTTCAACTGTGAAGTTGCGACCGCACCAAGCATATGCTTGCAGCTCTCTATGCTAGCACAGACACTGGAAAGATAGGGGCAGTGTGCATATAATGTTACTGTCCGGAGCACATGCACATTGCCCGATGGCTTGTTTGAATTTTCTTATCCGCAACTGAAGCGTATTACTTCTCTAGTAGATGTTAGGCACATTGATGCTACCTTCCTTTTATCCCAAAGTATCTTTGGCTATTAACGTCATCTGAATTTTTACCTAGCTAACGGCAAGGAACACTGCGTGAACGGTTGGTGCAACGAACAACCCTCCTCCGCTTCGAATTCCACGTGTGAGCGAACTACGACGCCTCATCGTAGAAGAAACCGACGAAGAAAAGCAGTCTGTAAATCCACACTTCCAGATGATCCGAATGGATTACCCATTGCTGAATCGAGTCATCAGCAACCCAATGGCCAATCAGCTTCCAGACTTCTGAATCTCTCAGAACACGGAAACGCCTGCCAAGACACACGAAAGACAAACACGGTGAACCAACTGGTTTTGTCCAATTCGACAGATTCCTCAACCGTACAGAAAACACATATTAAAGGCTGTTTTACACGATCAAAAGCCTATCCGAAGACATCCAACCCGCCCGATGTGGATCTAAGCACACGTTTTCGAAATATGTCCACGCATCCTGATGGGTGATTCTCCACATCGGAATCATTTGCCGGATGCTCACTGTCAGCTCTTTGAAACGCCTGGTGCCCCATCCGTTTTAGTCCTAACGAGCAATATACCGTTGCTGTTGCACTCCTTTCTGTGGATATTTCTATGGGTCACCAGTGTGTTGCACAAACGTTTGCTATGATTTTCGGAATTGAATTTGTTGGCATGTATCTGATTAGCGCTCTTCCGTTCCTTTGCTGGGGTCTATAATATTGAGCCGTTTTTTGCTTTCTTCTAATTCTCAGTGTGTTCTACTTGACTCACCTGATGTAAGCAACCATTCGGAGAGTTTTAAGTCACTTTGGGCGTTCGGTACACATAACTTATCATCATCACACACTCATCATCGTCCAGACGTTTCACTCTGTGTTCAGGGTTCCTCCTAAGAGCACATTAGCACAAATGGGAACAGAAATATTGAGGATATGCACTTTTGTTATGCAACGCATTCGCTAAGATCGTACTAATGCGTTCGGTATGCGTGTTCCGTCGAGGTCAATATACCACTCCCAAAACTGAAACAAAGGTGTTCTCTAACAACATAATGGCAAATTGATGCGTTCTACTAGTGCTTGGTCACCGTATGGCCATAAACTAAGAGGGATAACTATGCAGGTACGTAATAAGACAGGTAATTGGTGGTCAAATGGTAGACCTGAGTGATCTACACCAAGATCAGGGTGTCTACAGCTTGTCAAAACAGGCGCTGATAAGGATCGGTGAACATGTGAAGATAAAGCGGCACCGATGTTACAGGTCCCTTGCTGATTGCAATACAATACGTCACAATCAACTTTATTCTGTGGATAACTCGGTTAAACGGCAACAGCAAGTACGCTGCTGGACCTCATTGTGCCCAGAGTGAGTTACATAGGCCTCGAACTGAAACGTGAAACAGGTCATCAGCGTTGTCAAGTTCTGGAGTCTCTGCCGTGTGTCCTGGGTCGCGACACCCAACTTCAATTGTGGCTTCGGTTGATTTTGAAGTCAGGTGGTGCCATTCCGATTGCTAAAACCGTATCTGAAGTGAATGCTTTCGCCGTTGCTCTCTCTCTCATCACTGCACTCCACAACTCATCTTGTCCTGGTTTTGACTCATCAGGAGTGAAACTCAGCACGTAGTGATCATGACGATAACCGCCAGCCTTAATCTGTCGAGTTTCACTCCCAGTTCAGGCTATCTCTACCTGATGAGTCCAGACTAGGATGAAACGCGCCGTGGAGCGCAGGAATGTGAGAAAGCCATATCGAAGCCCTCCAGGTCATCAGCATCACTTAACGCAGTCTGAATGATGGATTCCTCCCGATAAAAAGGCACCATCATCTACTCAGCAAACAAAACACGATATTCATCGATAAGTGTTGATCGAACATGCTCCACGTAACTCATTTTGATCAACCTTACACATCAACGGATTTAACTGCTCACCCCATCGGGTACCCGTTTGTTCTACTTATCGTCACCGATGCGGCTTATCGCGAGCACTACCCAGTAAACGTCGGTGTCCGTGGAGTGCTGTAGACTGCGGTTCTCATTGTGTTCATTCGTACACCAGGGAATCCCACCTCCCGATGCCAAGGATTGTTTATATTCAGGGATGCGGTTTCAGTCGCTGAAGTGCTTGGCTCATTTTGTTTAGTTAGGTACTCGTTGTCTCTGGCGTGATCGTAATACTAGTTGCATCTCTGGTTCTTTGCTACTAGGCCTTAGGAGTCAGCACGAAAATTATGGTCCTTCCACGACATCTGGCACTTTGAGGACACGAGACACATGCTGAAGAATGTTATAATTCCCGCAGTGTTATAGCAATAGGAGCGACGGAAACACGTCAAAGGGCAGTGATTGCAGGCTGACTGAATAGGCTTTATTCAGCAAATGACCGGGACGCGTGGGCTGAAATGAAGGTTTTCGAAAAACGTTGAATACGAAGGTAGCTTACACGTCATTCTCCACCCCACCCCACCTCCAATCTTTTGCTTGTGTGCTCGAGAATAAATGGATACTACTGTACCTCGCGGTTACGCAGACAGTGTATATACATTCTTTGTCGTTGCTCGTAAACATATGAAAGTTCGGATGGACAAAGGATGTTGGTTTGGGTCACATGAGCGGTCGTTGCTTATGCATGGCTATCTCTTTGGGAAGGCGCACAGGAGACACTAGATAGATGCCACCCTGGTGCGGCCCAGTTGTACATTAATACATGTCCTCTTTTCCATTTGGAAATCAAATGTGAGTATACTGGACTGTACGGTCCACTTGAACAACCTCGCTCACTTACGTGTTGTATTTTGAGGCTCTCATATTACGACGTCACAAGATGTATCCTGGTACGCAACCAATTCAGCAGCTATATCTTGGATGCTAGTTTACTTCTGTAAGAGAACGATCTCTTCTGGGGACTGGCTTTGTGGCGGTGCAGAGAAGGCAATGGATAGAATTCAAAGCGTCCAGCAATATACTTTCCTGCTAAGTTATCGCGAGGCTCCTAGATCCAGGTGATAGAGTAATCAATTTCCAAATGATGCTGACAATCCGCACCAGCTGTCCATCTCTTTGAAGATTGTGCGTCATAGTTCGACTAGCTACGAATTTTTATAAGTGAATAGATATCGCATCTCTTGAGAATGTATACAGAGGCATGCTAATTACAGTAAAGAAATGTGTTAAACACTAATGCTTTTAGCTGTCATGTCATTGTATGCAAAAGGAAACAGGAATCCAGAGTATTCAACACTGGCGAACATCTATTTCCTGTGTGTTGTTGAGGGTAAATGGATATTGAACTTAATGTTTAGTCATTCGGAAGAACGCGTCGCCTTAATGTGGGTTCACCGTTCTCATAAAATTGGAGTGTCCTTTTGGCGCATACTCTTTAGTGGGATGTCATTTGCTTTCGTTTACTGAATACTGTATTATAGAGCAAGTAGAAATGACTTCGGTACAACTCTTTCGAAATATGGTGAAAAACGTTATACAAGTTGCCAACCGTGAACATCGTTGTCGTTCTCATGTAACATTTAAACTATCTGGCTTACGATATTTCAAGACTCACAAATGTGATATGTCATCGTAAGTGTGCAATCGTTCTCCGAATCGAATAGTGGTAAAATATAAATCTAACAACGTTTTGAACTGCTGCACAAATGTTGCCTCAATCACATGTTCAGGTTAACTGTTCCAAATGTTTACCACTCTCCGTTCGAAGCACAGTGGGTAGGGAACACATTTCACATCCGGCACGACAAGCTTGTATCTGTGTCCGCGTGTGCTGCATAGCCCTCATAAGTGCAGCATTGGCCTTAGCATTGGGAAGTCACGGAGATGTAAAATACGGTAGGTCATAATGAGGTCGACTTGCACCCGACGGTAGGACAAGGTGTGGAGTCCTAGTTTCTCGCACCGGTCTTCATACCCCAAGCCTGGTAGCAACGTGTTGGACCCGTTCGGTCTTTTGTGCCTCGCCTCGGGTAATCGGAAAGTAGGCGGGCGAACCGTACTCTAGCATTGGTCTAATGATGGAAGAGAAGAGGCGAGTGGCAACCTCTTCAGACCATGTGCCGAAGCTATGTTTGAGCGCCCAAAGCATGCGCAGTCCGTTACGATATAGCCTGTTCGTGTTGTCCACGGACTTCAAATCGTAGCGTGAGAGTACACTTAGGTCCTTCACGGTGGGTGTGGGATATAGTGGTTGGCCGTCAAGGGTGTAGGTTCGGCCGTCCGCACCCTACCCTCATAAAAACAGACTTGGCTGGGTTGATCGGGAGAAGAACTTCTGCAGACCATGTGGTTAAGCGGTTGAGATCTTGCTGAAGTAGGCCACAGTCATCAGGAGCGTCAATTTGTCTCCAAAGCTTCATGTCGTCCGTAAACAAGGCACACGGCGACCGGAGAAGCTGCGGTAAATCGTTGATGTGGATCAGGAACAGAGTGGGCCCCAGCACAGTGCCTTGAGAGACGCCACTTGTAGAGAGGTACCAGTCAGTTAGATGGTCGTCCACCTGTATCCTCCACTTTCGTCCAACAAGAAAGTCGCGGATCCACCGGCGCAGTGAGCCACCGACACCACACATTCTGAGTTTGTGAAGGAGAACCTCATGGCTGACCTTGTCGAACGCTTTACTGAAGTCGATGAATATCACGTCGACGGACTTCCCCTTGCTTATTGCCTTCAACCACTCATGCCTCGTCACAAGCAGGTTCGTAACGCATGAGCGGCCTTGCATAAAACCGTGCTGTGCGGGCATCAGGACCTCGTTTCACTGTAGCAACTGAAGCAATCCCTTCTTCACGATTTTCTCAGCAACCTTTGCCAAAATAGGTGTCAGACAAATTGGCCTTTAGTTGTCTACTTTGCTAGGGTCGACGCCTTTCGGAATAGGCTTCACCACCGGATATTTCCAATCAGCCGGCAACGAACCATCGGACAGCGACCTGTTGAAAAGGTCAGTCACGACAGGAGAGAGGATGGTCGAAAGTGACTTGAGAACCAGTGGGTGAAGCCCATCAGGTCCGGCAGGTTTGGTGCCGTCAATGTTGGCGAGTAGTCTACCTACCTCTTCAACGCTGCAATCCAGACTGTCGAGTTCGGTAAAAACGGTACACATCGAACTCGGAACAGACACCTGGTTATTCGCAAATACAGAAGCGAAGTGTGCCGCCAACGCGGATGCACGCTCAGTGCTGGAGGTTAGGGGCTGTCCATCCGGGCCATACAGCACTGGCACATCACCTGCATGCTTCAGGCGTCGCTTCACGTATGCACAGATTCTCTTGGGGGCGGTCTTCGCGGTTACTGCGAGCTGCTCTTCGAAATGTCGGCGTTTATTCTTTTTTGCACTGTTGCAGAGGTTCCGCTGACATTTACACCCTTCGTAATCTTTGTCAGAGCCAGAGAGGAGGAATTTGTCCCACAGTCTGCGCCGCCTCCAAGCCAGGTTTCCATACTCCTTGTCAAACCAATGAGGCTTAATCGGTCTATCCTTCCGACATTTCAATGGCACAAATTGGGAACACAACGATGTCAATCTGTCTTTTATAAATATCCAACAATTTTCCACAGATGCAGCTTGTGGCAGAGACCAATCCAGTTGGCTCGCGGTTCGAGCTAGACCATCGAATTCCGTTTTCCAGTAGTTGGGAGCTAGTTCCAGCGGATGTGAATACGGCAAAGATAATTCCATATCAGCTATGAGCACTGAATGGTCGCTTGCAGCCAGGGGCTCCAGGATCCTAACCT